CCCTTATAATATTTTATACCTAAAAATAGGGTGAGCAAAAGTTTGGAACATTTTTGATTTCTGCTGTAGTTTAATGCCAAAATCAAAACAAAAAAATTTATAAAAATTCAAGCAGGTATAATGATCGATAATAAGGGAAAATATAAAAGAACTAGGCCCATATCTCATTTCAGTGTAGAGATCTCGCTACCCTGAAAATCAACGTAAAACGGGGGTAAGTCACTTAAAAAAATATTTTCGACTTCTTATGGATAATTTTGAACTTTTATTTTGGGCTTATCTTAAAGCTCTTGAAATTTGCTATAAGATAGCCATAATAGAATGTTTCAAAAAAAATTTGTTAGCGAGATACACCTAAATGCCCCATAAAATGCCCTTTTGAAAAATAAACGGTCCTCATCTCCCAATTGGATTTTTTCTGAAAAACAAGATTTATGCTATCTTGAAGCAAATTTCAAGGGCTTTCAGATAAGCCCAAAATAAAAATTCAGAATAAGCCATAAGGGGTCGAAAATATTTTTTTAAGTGACTTACCCCCATTTTACGTTGATTTTCGAGGTGTCATGATCTCCGGTCATGATAACGATATGGACCTAGTTTATATTTATTCTTTTACAATATCAATATTTAGGTTCGATGAAAATTTTATAGATTTTTTCCTTTGGAGTTTTGCATAAATTTACAGCAAAATCAAAAATGTTCCATACTTTTGCACCTCTTATTTTTTGGGTATAAAATATTTTAAGGGTAAAATATAAGAATATCTAAAGATATTTAAAGACTTTTATTATCATTTTATAGAGGACACTTATAGTTAATTTAAAAAATTTTAATCCAGACCATTCACTGAGAAATGAACGAAAAACTATTGATTAAACAATTTACAACAAAATGTTCCAAACTTTTGCACCTCACTGTACTTTATTAACCGTTAAATGTTTCCGGAAAATACATGTAATATTTTCCGGAAAATATAAAATTTTTAATAAAATCTGGAAAAGGTAAAATTCAATTTCGTTCCCCCCCCCTCTTTTTTATCTTCCTCAAAGTATTCCAAAATGGTCAGTCAATCTTAAGTTATAGAACTCGTCGAGCTGTCGAGCTGAGTCGAATGACATCAAAATCAACGTAATCGGACAAGATTTGACAAAGTTACGACATTATTTAGACCTACCGGAGTCGATGATTTATGTCATATCTTTGTCAAATCAAGTCGGATCACGTCGATTTTGGTGTCATTCGACTCTGCTCGACGAGCTCTTTCGAATGAGCTATCATTTGTATACTTTTTCGTCCTTTTGGTTTTTCGCCCCTATGGTTGTTCAATTTTTAGGGGTCTGTATTTTGGTCCAATCGAGTCCGATTTTTTCGATTTTGCTTCATTCGCCACAGCTCGACGAGTTCTATAACTTAAGATTGACTGACCATTTTGGAATACTTTAAGGAAGTAAAAAAGGAGGGGGGAGGGGAAACGAAATTGAATATTACCCTGGAAAATATTTTTTAATACATACATATTTAATTAAAATAAAATTTAAAAAATTATTTTTTATTTATAGCAAGATTGTCCAAAAGGTCATCTGACAAAAGAACAATTTATTAAAGTCTATAAGGTAATTCAAAAAAATTTTTTTCATTTTCAATAAATTAATTTTTTCAGGATTTTTTCCCTTCTGGATCAGCAGAAGGGTTTTGTGAACACGTTTTCCGTACTTTCGATACAGACAATTCTGGTTTTATTGATTTTAAAGAATTTTTATTAGCTATAAATGTTACTTCTTCTGGTACTCCCGAACAGAAATTGGAATGGGCATTTAGGGTAATTTTTATTTAAATACCTAATTGTGTTTTCCGGATTTTATTTATCCTGTTAAAGACAGTGTTTTATTTTCTGTGTCTTTTCCGGAAATTGTCCTATTCTGGTATAATTCTGAAAATACTCCGGAAATATTTTCCAGAAATATTCCAAAAACTTTCCGAAGTTCTATTATAAAAATATTTTTATTTTCTTTTGTCTGCATTATTTTTCCGGAAAAATAATATTGTAGAACTTTAAAAACATTTATTCTGATATAACTATGGAATATTATCTTTCCGGAATGTCTACATATTTTCCAAAAATATAATTTTTGCTAGTTATGTTTTTACCGGAAAATGCATATAATATTCTCCGGAAATATTATGCTTTCCGGAAATTTTTAGAAATACATATGTATATCATTTATTTTTCGGAAACTTGTTATCCGGAAATATATGCCTTTGTTTTTATAAAATCCGGAAAAGTCCATTTGCGGAAAATATAAAAATATAGTACAACTTTTCCTGTTCCGAAAATATATACTTAAGAATATATAATTAAATACATCTATTATCCGGGAACATCTATTAACCGGAAATATTCTGTAAATAATCTTCTGTTTTTATGAATATTAGTAGATATATTTATTTTCCGGAAAATAAACAATTTTTTGTTCCGGAGAATATATAGGTTATATAGAACCTTTCGAGACTTGAACCAACCTTAAATTACATTTTAATTTAATATTTTCACAATTTATTTTTAGATGTATGATATTGACGGTAATGGAACAATTGATGAAAAAGAGATGATTAAAATAATTGAAGTTTATAAAAAAAATTTTTTAAATTTAATTTAAAAAATTTTAAAGGCAATTTATGAAATGCTTGGCCCAGAAGTAACAAAATCAGCTGACGATTCTCCTCGAAAAAGGGCAAAAATGATTTTTGAGAAAATGGATATAAATAATGATAAGGAGTTGACTTTAAAAGAATTTGTAGATGGTTGTTTAGCTGATAAAGAACTTTTCCAGGTTAAAAGAAGTTTTTTAAAGATAGCCAAACCTACTTTATTTACACTAGTATATTGAACTGAAATATGTTTCCGAAAAATACATTTAATATTTTCCAGAAACGTGTGAGAGACCTGTATTTAAGGAACACCATTATAAGATAAAGCCAAAACGCCTGTTACTAGGTACACCTATTTAAATTATATTTTCTGGTTGTTTGACTATCTAGTTGGGACTACTACTAATTTTTCATTGGACTCATAAAAGACCTCTCTGTGTCCCAACTTCTAATTAATGGACGTTTTCTAGTTGGATACTCTTTAATTAATAAACACCCCTTTATAAGATATAATTAAAAAAAATTTTTTTTCAATTAGATATTAACAAATGAAGTGAAAAAATAACAACAAACAGCAACAACAACAACAACATTTTAGCAACAAAAAAATAAAAAAATCATTCCATCTTAAATAAAATAAAAGACGAGTTAAGTATATTTTTTTCTTCTCGCCTCTCTCAAAAAAATTTTTTCAAAAAAAAGATATGCAAAAAAATTAAAAAATATTTTGCCGAATAAAAAAATAAAAGGGCCAAAATGCCTTCCTTCCTTCTCTTCTAACCAAAAATCCAAATAAATAATAAATTTATTTTTTTTCTCCAATTACTTTTTTGTGTGTTTATATAAAATATTTACTACACAATTTGCCATTCACTTATAATTGAAATTAAAAGGATAAAATTTTCCATTTTTGAATTCTTAAGAAAATTTAGAATTAAACAGAATGGTAGGGGTATTTCAGTAATGGGCATTTTGTCGTATCGGCATTATGTCAACTTGACATTTTGTCGGGTGGGCATTTTGCGACTTGTCATTTTGTTATTAGGCATTTTGTCGACATTTTTAGACTCATGAATATTGTTAGGCAAACGCGATTTTTCGGTATCGGTATCGGTATTTTCGGTAAAATACCGCGGTATTACCAAAAATACCGCGGTAATACGGTACCGTGACCAACTCTACTCATAAATTTTTAGCTGGATCATTCCGTATTTCCAAAAAGGCGAAAAGAGAAAATTTTATCCTTCACATATTCTTTAATTTTGGTTCTAGAAAAATGAAATGTGGTAATAGTGTCGTTTCCCAGCCCCCTTTTTTCCTCCCAATTTTTTACCCTATGTTTGTACGGAATGGTCAAATTTTCCCCTTTCTTTCATCAAATTTGCCTTTCCATATTTTGCCTAAAAACAATCAAAAAAGATTAATTTGTGATATTTAAATAAGTATTAGAGTAATGAGAAGAATCATTTTCCCAATTAATAAAAATGGAAGAACTAAAGAATTTCAAACCTATTGATTTATATGAAAAATTACGTTTGAGTGATAATGATTTCGATGCATGGCTTGAGAAGCTTGGACTTCTTTCTTTTTTGATTGTTTTTAGGCAAAATATGGAAAGGCAAATTTGATGAAAGAAAGGGGAAAATTTGACCATTCCGTACAAACATAGGGTAGAAAATTGGGAGGAAAAAAAGGGGGCTGGGAAACGACACTATTACCTGAAAGGTTTCCATTCATTAATATTTTAAGCATGATTTTCAATTCTATATGTAAATAATTAAATACTAAAAAAGTTGTCAGGTTTCGAAGCAATGAATTTTTGTGTTTTTTACAGACACGAATATTTTTTAAAATTATTTTTGATTTTCTGTTAGCCAAATTTTATAAAGTACTTCCAAAATAAAAATGCCAAAATTTCAAAACGTCCATTTAAAAAATGTTAAAAAATTTTTTTTTGGTTTCTTAAAAATATTTGGCTATTAGAAAATTACCCCCTAATTGTTTTTGCTTTATCTTTCTATTTAAAAGTCCCTCATTTTTACATTTAATCAAATATTTGTTTAGTTTTATGTATTTTCTTAAAACAATTTTTAATTTTGTTTTTTATAATTAATTGTCATATAAAAATTTTTGAATTAAATTTTTTAGTAATAAATGTATTTATACAAAGGACATTTCGAAGAATGGACATTTCGTCCGCATGTTCTCATGTGGAGAGGGCATTCTGTCGAATGGATATTTCGATGAATGGACATGTTTATTTAAAATCAAAAAATTCAATTTTCAGTTGAAAAAAATTTTAAGAGGTTTTAAGAAAAATTAAAATAAATAAATACACAAACAATTAATTTTCATTTCTTAACTCGTGGCTTCATTTCTTCATTACAAGCATGCAAATAAATTTTAGTAACATTCGTTGGGTAGCTGTACTCTGAGCCCTAAAATTTAAATAAAATTATTGGAGGAAAAAAACGGAATATTGACACAACATTTTAATGTTTTATTACTTAAAATAAAAAATGGAAGGGGCAGAATATTTAAGTAGGGAGATCAAAATAGATATACCCACAGGAACGAGTTAAAAATCCAAAAGAAAATCGAAAATTTCTTCTGAAAATTTGTATGACTAGAAACTCGACCCAAGAAATATTCGAAACTCCAACACCATTATTTCTTAATCCGACCCATCCATGACGTTTTAATAGTTTCAAAAAAATATTAAAAATTCTCTTTCACAACACCAACAAACCTTACTCCAATCGTAACCAATAGAATAAGCCATAATATTTCCTCCTTGGTGTATATGACAAGCAGTTATAGGCAATGCCATAGCATCAGATCCTTTAAGTTTAGTACGTGCATCTTTATCCCAAAATGAGTAACGTCCATCCGCACCAGCAGTACAAAGTGTTTGGTGGATTGGGTGGAAAGCTACGACATTTACCTTTAAAAAAAGAAAGAATAAAATTTTTAAAGTGGTTGTTTGAATTAGAAATTGGTTCTAAAAACTGGTTAAGATTAAAAAAATCTTTTTGGACGAGATCTTGCCTAATTTCAGTTTGATATCTAGCAAGGGAAGGTAGGGTTAACCGATACTTTTTGAAACGAAACCCAATCCGAAAAAAGCTTTGAAACTCGACACATTCCCGCTCTCTATTTTAAACTCAAATTAGGCCAGCCACAATCTAATTTTTTCTAAAAACTGAATTTGTGTATAAAAAATGTGGGTTACTATCCTTTTCTCCGATATCTTATGGAAAAAATAAGGAATTAAAAAATGAAATTCCTAAAATTTTTAAAGTTCGGGGGAAGGTAGATTTACTAAAAAATAATTTTAAATTAACCGGATAAATTTCCTGAAAGCCATTAATTAATTCTGAAGATCGATGACATTTAAAAGTAAAATTGTCTTTATTGTCCTTTGCGTCCAAACATTGAATGGCTACACGACCTAAAATAAAAAAAATTTTTTTAATAAATTTTAATTTGAAAAAACCTTCAATAGACCCAAGCGCAAACCCTCCAGGTTGATTATTTATTTTATTTTTAAAAATTGCAATGGAACGGTTCTAAAAAAATTTTTAAATAATTTTTAAATTTAGAAAAAACTTGATATTTTAATTGAGATTCAACATCCTGAATTTCTTGTCTAAAAAATTAAATAATTTTATTTTTAAAAATACATAAGTCAACTATAAGGTTGTTGTAAGTCAACTAGGTTTTTTCCCTTTCCACTAAAGTTTAGACGCAAGTCGGGAAATTAGCCTTTAATTTTTGGTTAGATCCCAATTTGCAACTCGTGCAGGTTTTTTTATTCTTAAGCTTCTCATTTAAATAAACTTCATCTTTAAATCAACGGTTGCATTGAAATGGGGTTATGTACTTATAGTAATTTAAAATTCTTTTTAAAAATTATTCCGAAACCGAAAATTGCGGGTACCGGTTAATAACCGTTTGCAATCAACCCTAAAATCATCTTAAGAAAAATAAAATTTCCCCAAAAATGTTTTTTTTCCATTTTTACGGACAAAACTTGCGGACATTTTAAAATATTTCTAAATAAAAAATAAACAAACGGTTGTCCTTCCAAATTATATGATTTTATGTGTCGATTAGCCATTCCAACAACAGCCAAAGGATATATCATGTCCGAGCACCAAACACGTTCAGGTAAATTAATTGTTGCAAGTGAAGAAACTGTTGGTAATTGACGCATATCCCAAAAACGTAATGAACGATCCCATGAGCCAGTCATTAAACACTGAAAAAAAATTTAAAAATCAAGATAGGATTAGACAGCAGGTAGTCAATACCAAGAAATTTAAAAATCAACCTGATAATTAGAAGCAGTCACCCAATGACAAGATTTAACACAATCATCGTGTTGTCCAACAACAACAACTGAGTTTGATTGTAAATCCCATAAACGAACACTTTTGTCACAACAAGTAATAAATACTTTTGAACTGTCCTAAAAAGTAATAAAAGGAAGAGCGAAAATTGAAGAAAATTAAAATTGTAGATAATACAAAAATTGTCCCAAAAAATAAAAAATAATTTATAAATTTTTTAAAGACTAGTCGTTAAGGCTTGCATCTGTGGACAGATACTTTCCGTAAAAAAACATCCAAAAAAATAAAATTCCAAAAAAAAAATAAAAAAAATCCGCAAATAAATTGCGGACAATCCCCAAAAAATTTTTCCAAAAAAATGAAAAATTCAAAACCTCAAACCAATCCACAGAAAGTACAGGAGCCCCCAAATCCTGCATAGCTTTAGGTTCACTTTGTCCATTCTCATTAATTTCCCAAATTCGGCAAGTATTGTCCCACGACCCAGCAGCAAGAAATATTGGAGTGTTGGGTGCAGCAGGATTAAATTTTAATGCTTGAACGGTGTCAGTCGAAACTTGTTGTAACTTAAAAAAAATTTTTTTTGAATTAAATAAATTCAAAAAACCTCAATATCTCCTTGGGGAACAGTCGAAGCTGTTGGCTGAATTAATAAATTATTATTATTACTTTTTAATTTTTTAGAGTAATTAAAGTCAATATCAGTGCTGGGTATGGCTCCGGGAGCTAGCTCCGGAGCCCGGCTCCGGAGCCGGCTCCGGCGGAGCCGGAGCCGGAGCTAAGATTTTGAAAACCCCGGAGCCGGAGCTGGAGCCGGAGCCAAGAATTTCAAACCCCGGAGCCGGAGCCAAGGTTTTCCAATTCCTCACGGCTCCGGCTATACACCCCTAAAGATGGGTTAGAGAAAAAGAAGTAAGCAAAGATTGTAGGCGAGAAAAGAAAAGGAAGAGAAAATTGAGACGGGTAAAAAAGATTTTCTTTCCTTTACTTTGTAAAGTAGTTGTGGGTGAATGGATAGTGAGTTAGGTTCCGAATTTTATCCGGTTATAGGTTCGAAAAATATTACAAAAAATGATTAAATAATTGTTTTGCTTTGGAAAATAGATATAATGCGCATTTTTTAAATAAATAAATCTGGATAAATTTTTTAAATTGATTAATTTTAGTCTCCTGTGAGTCAAATTTTTAAAAATTTTTGCCTACGGCGCAAAAAAGGAAGATTTTTGGCTTAAGGATCTTCCAAAATTCTCAAAATTTTCGCCTGCGGCGCAAAAAAGGAAGATTTTTGGCTTAAGGATCTTCCAAAATTCACAAAATTTTCGCCTGCGGCGCAAAAAGCAAGTGATAATGAGAGGAAAAATCCAACATATCCGATTCGCCCAACTCCCAGACAACCCAAATCCCCTTAATCCAGCTTAATTCCCCGATATCGCCCTTAATGCACACGATAATCCACCCAAATCCCACTTAATCCATTGATACTCCTCTTAATCCTCTGATATCACTCGATATCCCCCTTTATCTACCCAAATCCCCCAATGAAAAATAATTAATTGATTTTCCAGCCGGAGCCCGGAGCCAACATGGAGCGGCTCCGAAAATCGCCGGCTCCGGAGCCGGAGCTGGAGCCGGAGCCAAGATTTTAAAAGGTCGGAGCCCGGAGCCGGAGCCAAGATTTTGAAACCCCGGAGCCCGGAGCCGGAGCCAAGATTTTCAAACCCCGGAGCCCGGAGCCGGAGCCAACAAATGGCAAATACCCAGCACTGGTCAATATCAACCATTCGTTGTTTTTTCATTTTAAAAGGTCTTTTAAATAAAAAATTGAAAAATTCAAAATGTCTGGGAAACCTTAGTGTTATTTTCATTCCGTGGAAAAATTTATTGGACAGGATAGGGAATAGAACCATCATGAACATAAAAGAATCTCAAAACTTAATAAAAAGTCCGCAAATAATTTGCGGACAAACGCTTTAAAAATGCGGACAAACATGCATATTTGTGGACAACCCTCTTTATTTTTTTTCTGCAAATACAAAAACAACATTTGGATAGCTGAAGTATTTATGCAAAATTTGATTCAGAAACCCTTATAAACTACACAGAATTTAAACATTAATAGCTAAAGGAAGATTAAAGAAACCTATTGAGTTTACATTAGGTAGGGAAAAAATCATTTATTAAATGATTTGACAAAAAAACCTTTTAAAAAAGGAAAACTAAAAAAATTTTACTCAAAAATTCAAAACAACAAAATATCAACTTAAAAAACACCCAAAACCAATTCAAAAATTGATTCATAAAAAATGCAATCAACCGAATAAAAAACAAAAATATCGATTTTAAAAAATCAATAACCCCCTAAACACCCCCTCCAGGCCAAAAGACAAATTCAAATATTCAAAACAATTCAAAAAACCTGTTGTGTTGTTGCTCCTCCAAAAAGCCCACCAGGTTTAGCCCCAAAAGGTGAAGAACTTGTTGAAGTCCCAGTACTTCCAAAAAGGCTCATTTCTTGAATAAATATTTAAAAAAATAAATAAATCAAAAAAGTATTAAGATGTAAATAAAAACAAATTATTCAAAAAAAAAACGAAATTTAATTAAATATATTTATTAAAAATTTAAAAAAGTTTAAAGGCCAAATAGCATTGCGGACAAAAAAATCAATAGCGGACAAAAATTGAAGTTTATTAAAAACATAAAAAAGTTACCTATATTAATATAGGATTCAGATTTTTAGAGGGGTTCCTGGACTTTTATGCTAATGTAAGAATCTATCTTTTGAGATATTTTTAATTGCAAATCACAAGTGTTTCCAAGTGCTTGAGGGTAAGGCTGCCATGTTTATCGACAAAATAATTTATAACTTGAAAAGGAGCCAATGGGGAGGGGGGTGTGATTGTGATAAAAACTTATTTGCGCGGACTAATTGTAAGAAGAATTTGTGGGGATTTGGGTTGAGATGGTTTTGTTGATCCCCCATTCCAAAAGGTCTGTATAATTTGTGGGGACTTTAAACCCAAAACTTGGCAAGAGCTTGGATATGGGAAATGCAGGAAAGTTTTTTGAAAAATTTTAATTTTTTCCTCCAAATAATTAATTTTCTCATCTTTTTGATCATTTTCAGCTTTTAATTGTTATTATTTTCTTCAATTAATTGTTGAAAATCTTGTTTAATCTCTGCAATTTTATTTCCATTGTCCGAATTTATTTTTTGAATTTTCTAAAATAATATAAAAAAATATTCAAAAAATATCCGAACTTTATCCATTCTCTTCAATTCGTTTTCTAAATTATTAGTCTCTTCCTTTTCTTCGATAGATTTTATTTGAAAAATATTTTTAAAAATTAATTGTATATTAGAAAATGAATTAAAGGAAGTATTTTTGAATATTTTTTTATATTATTTTAGAAAATTCAAAAAATAAATTCGGACAATGGAAATAAAATTGCAGAGATTAAACAAGATTTTCAACAATTAATTGAAGAAAATAATAAACAATTAAAAGCTGAAAATGATCAAAAAGATGAGAAAATTAATTATTTGGAGGAAAAAATTAAAATTTTTCAAAAAACTTTCCTGCATTTCCCATATCCAAGCTCTTGCCAAGTTTTGGGTTCAAAGTCCCCACAAATTATACAGACCTTTTGGAATGGGGGATCAACAAAACCATCTCAACCCAAATCCCCACAAATTCTTCTTACAATTAGTCCGCGCAAATAAGTTTTTATCACAATCACACCCCCCTCCCCATTGGCTCCTTTTCAAGTTATAAATCATTTTGTCGAAAAACATGGCAGCCTTACCCTCAAGCACTTGGAAATACTTGTGATTGCAATTAAAAATATTTTTTTTACTCTTAGTGTTAGAAATATTTTTCTTATCTATTTTTTCCTATTGTTGTATTTTTTTATTCCTATTTTCATACATGCCTATTTTAAGAATTTGCGCTATCATAAAAATCCGGACCCTATTTATTAGATCTTAAAATTAAACTATGCCTTAATTATTATTTTAACTAATAGAAAAGTGAAAAAATAATTGTCCGCACATTTTTGTCCGCAAATATTACTTTTAAAAATAAATAAAATTTCCAAACTTTTTTAAAGAATTATTCGATCAATTTTCCTGTCCCATTTTCTTCCAACTTTTCATTTCCTTCTTTCACTTCTTCATTTTCACATTTTTTCAAAATTGTTTCAGCAAGTTTTTTAAATTCTTTGTGAACAATAACAGAATCTTCCAATTTTTCAAAAAACTTTCCAGCATTCCCCATATCCAAGCTTTTGCCAAGTTTTGGGTCTAATGGTAAAGAAGCCAGCAATTCCAAACCTTCACCCAGTTCTTTACACATTCCCAAAGCACCACCAGTTGTTGAAGGAAAAAGCTGCGAATGTGTGCAGCAATTTGGACAAATAAATTCTGCCATGTTCTCGATAACACCAAGAATTGGAACCTTTGTTTTGATACAAAAATTGACCTAAAAATAATAATTTTTAAATTAGTAAATTGAAAAAGATCTTCAAAAGATTTTATTGAGATTTTTTAAACATTTTCTAACCAAGCAAATGAGTCGTTATTCAAACCTCGTCCTTCCTCTATAGGAAGAATTTCTTAACATAAACTAAGAGTGACCTTTCCCTCTTAACGTCCAAAAATAATTTTTGAAAGAATCGATTTCGTCCTATGAAGGAAGGCCTGAGCACGATTTTATTGCCTTATCAGAAAATGTTCTCTTCCTTTCAAAGGGGAAAATATAACGACGGAAACATTGCGGACGTATATTCACAAACGAAATTTTGAAAAATTAGGAAAGAAAGAAGAAAAATTAGAACAAAACTAAGATTGTTCCCCGTCCTCGAAAATCTATATTTGAGACTTCTGAAAACCCCTTGCTCCAGCAGTTTATCTAAAAAATAAAAACCTCTTTCCGAACATCCAGTAAAGAAATTTCTTGTGGTGTTGTGACAATTAACGCTCCATCAAGTTGTGATGACTGCAAGAGAAGTTGGACAACAGAAATGTGTTCATCAGAAGTTCCAGGCGGAGTATCAATTAAAAGAAAGTCTACATTACCCCAATCAACATCACGAAGGAATTGTTTAATTAAGGCATTTTTGCGAGGACCACGCCAAATAATCTGTTTTAAATTTTAAAAATAATTTAAAGATTATAAAAACTAGTAGGTTCGGTCTGAACACCTAAAACTCCTTATATTCCCTCAAATCCACTTTAATCCATTCAAACCCCCTCTATCACCAGATACATATCAATTCATGGTCGATTGTACTCCCATTAAAATCCCCAACAATTTTTTGGTTGAGGGTCCGGTTAACCGAAAACTTTGGTGAAACCGAAAACCAGAGGATTATATTAACAAGAATATGTGAGGCAAGAGTAAAAACCACAAATCCACCAAAACTAGCTCCAATAAATTAATGGGCATAAAAAAAGACTAGCCGAAAAATAAACAGACACCCATTTAAACTGTATATTCTTTTTTTAATTCACCAAAATTTTAATAAATTTAAAAATAAACTAAACAAACCGCATCATTCCTCGATTCAACCAAAAAAGAAATACTCATCACAAAAAGATTGTCTTTCACGAAAACGGGTGCCCATCCTGAACACAATAATTAATAAAAATCCAAAAAATAACAAAAAAACCTTCTTCACTGCTATGAACGCTTTCATTCTCACAGCCAAACATTCGAGCTTGGGAAGGTCCACAAATGTCAATATCGAGGACGCCAACCTTAAAAATAGGTAAAAGGTAAAATTTCAGAGACATTCAAAAGTACTCGTCGAGCTGAAAGGAGACAAAACACCCAATCAGCTCGACATCCCGGTCGAATTACATACAATTCGACCGGGCTGGTGTCTGAGTATTACACCGAAAATTTTTCCGAAAATCTTGAAAAAAATACATAGGGGTCGCTTTAGTATAGCTACACCGAGATCGGAACTCAAAATATATACCATTCGATTCGTCTCGCCGAGCTGAGTTCAAATATGCAAGAATTTTCTGCGGGACGCGAAAACTCGCAGAGATATACCGTATTTATTCTAATAGAATGGCCCCTCCATTAGAATGGCCCCTCCAATAGAATGGCCCCTTTTTGGGGGTATCGAAAAATAGAGTGGCCACCTCTATTTGAATGGCCCCTCCAATAGAATGGCCCTTTTAACTACAAAACATATACCTAATACATTTCTTTATTTTCTTATTACCTGTTAAATAGTACTCTTTAGTTAGGATAATCATAATATTTTTGAGCAAATCTGGAGTAATAAAAGGGAGATTAAGAGGGATATTAGGGGATTTGAGAGGATTAGAAGTGATATTACGAAATTACAACGATTTACTGATACATATCAAGGAATTAAGAGAATTAATGTTAGATATTCATGGATTGGATAGATTAGATTTATCAGAGAACATGCTGGGATACATAGGATTTATAGGAATATCGTTCAAATTCATCAATAACCCTCAGAATCTCTTCTGATTCCAATATATTACGTCCAAATTCCAAGATCCCACAAAATTTTGGGAGCCAATGTACCGGAAATTTTGATTATATGGCACCGAAGTACATAAAAAGTTGCCTTTTTGCCTAGCAGGCAAAAGACATTTATGTTTTATAGTGTTACGAAAAGAAAGATTCACTAACCAAAGTCGAAAATATAGAATTTTACAAGAAAAATCGATTAAATTTCGAAGTCGAAAAATATTCGATTGGACATTCATCCAATTTTTGATTTTTACCTATGAAAAATAGAATGGCCACCTCCATTAGAATGGCCCCTCCAATAGAATGGCCTCTTTTTGGGGGTATCGAAAAATAGAGTGGCGGCCATTCTATTAGAATAAATACGGTAGGCCCCCGAAAATCGAAAAACCATAGGGGGGAGTAAGCTGATTTTTGGGGTCAAAAATTCGAATATGCATATTATACCTCATTCGAAAGAGCTCGTCGAGCTGAGTCGAATGACACCAAAATCAACGAAATCCGACTTCATATGGCCGAGTTACAGACACCCGAAGTTCGAAAATTTTTGGGGGGCGATTTTTGGAATAAAAAATTTTTTATACAAATAATATCTCATTCGAAAGAGCTCGACGAGCTGAGTCGAATGACACCAAAATCACCGTGATTGAACAAGATTAGACAAAGTTATAACACAAAAAACCTAAACCTATGGAGCGTCGGCGAGGCGCTTGTGCAAAACCCCGCGCTTCGCGCGGGGTTTTGCGGCACGCGCCTCGCGGGGAGTCTACGGGCGCTGGGTCTGGGCTCGTAAGATAAACCTATTCCTATCTCACTTGCTCTGGACGTATTTGGGGCCTCCGTAACAGCAAAAATCTCCACAGATGACATAGGTAAGGAGCTAAAATAAAAGATCATAACTTTGTCCATTCAAGTCGGATTTCATTGATTTTGGTGTCATTCGACTCAGCTCGACGAGCTCTTTCGAATGAGTTATCATTTGTATATTCGAATTTTTGACCCCAAAAATCAGTTTACTCCCCCCTGTGGTTTTTCGATATTCGGGGGTCTGTATCTCTGCGAGTTTTCGTCTCCCGCAGAAAATTTTTGCATATTTGAACTCAGCTCGGCGAGACGAATCGAATGGTATATACTTCAAGTTTCGATCTCGGTGTAGCTATACTAAAGAACAGCCAATACATAAATTATTAAACAAACATTTAAAGGTTTTCCATCATTCCCAGTCAAGTTGGACATTACATAAGCCAAACTAGTTGTTACAGAACTTTTGCCAACGCCACCTTTTCCACTCAATACAAGAATCTAAAAACGTTTTAAAATAATTTTGAACATCTCTTGACCATTTTTCTTGGGTATTATGATATTGGGGAGTTTTGTTTACTAGTGATCGAGCTGGGTTAGACTAAGGCCTGGGTTTTTCCTGTACCCAGAGTCCAGGCTCATTCATTTTTTGACTCTCCTGGGTCTGGGTTTTTCCTGGACTACCCAGGTCAGTAAATCAAACCCGGAACCCAGGAACAGGCCCAGGATTTCAAAAATCTCGATCACTATTGTTTACCAGTCCAAAAATGTCCGAGCTTCTTCAATTTACCCATTACTCGACCCTCTCCATTTGTAAACAAAAAACACCTATTAAAGCCATAATATCCCTGTTCTCTTACTTTGTGTCTAACAAAAGCCATCCTTTCTTTAATTAAATCAATGTCTGGATCAATTTGTGGAACACCAGTTGAACAAGCCTTTTGATTTGGACATCCTGCACATGCTGATGTTTTGCCTGCTTTTTCACTTTGAGTGCCGGGACAGCTTTCTGGAGCATTTTCTGGTACGTCAGTCATTGTTTCAAACAAAATTTCAGAAAAATGGAGAGAAATTGAAAATAATTTGTTGAAAAACTTTTTTGGAAAATTTTCTAAAGTAAAAATAGTACAGAAAAAATAGAGAAAAAAAGAAAAATTTGGCTTGGGATTAATTGTCATTTTAAAACCAAAACGCCAAATCAGTAGAAAAATAAATATTTTTAAATAATTTAAGGAACATTGGGCTTTTAGGCGTTGGTTTCTAGAAGTGTACGTTGCGAGCTGGACCGGGCTGGATTTTCCGGAATATATCCGGCAAGCGAAAAATCTAAAATTTCATTTCTTACTTCCATGAGAATTTTTTATTACCTTAAATAGCATTGAGTTATGGGATGGTAAAAAATTTGGCTTTTGTTCAGATTGAATGTTCAATCGCACCTTTAAGCGTCCAATGAAAAGTTTATGCGTCCGAACACATTTTTTGCGTCCAATCAATGGCTATAAGTACCTTGTTCTTCAGTTTATTACCAAAAAATATTTGTGATTATAAAGCTCCGCTCACCCAGAGTTATAGTACACACACAATACAGGTAATGGGTTGACCCAAAAAGAATGAGCCCTTTTATTTGGACTAAATTTGGAATTGTACACTGGGAATTAATTCCAAGGAGGTGATCTCTTAATGGAGATCACTATCGTACAATTCTGGACCGCGTTCAAGTTGCCATTGATGGTTTCACAGTTCAGGGACGACGTCAAGGCCAGGTTGTTTTCCATCAGGAAAACGCACCTGCGCACCCGTGCAAATGCAACTCGTGCCCACATTAATGAAACACTCGGATGGCAAATTCTACCGCACCCGCCTTACTCACCGGACATTGCGCCATCTGATTATCACTTATTCCGGTCTATGAAAAATCATTTACGTGAAGTGCGGTCCCTAAATGATACGCAAATCAAAAATTGAGTAACTGATTTTCTAGAGGCAAAATCAGCTACAGCTTTTTATCGAGAAGAATTCTGAAGCTGCCCAAAAAATGGCAAGAAGTAATAGATAATAATGGGCAATACATCGTTTCTTGATTGTTTTTTGTTTTCTTGTTATAGTAAATTATTTGCTTTATCCATAAAGGGCTCATTCTTTTTGGGTCAACCCATTACATAGGTTCTAACACGCAGAACCGGGTACTTATTGCCATTGAATGAACGCATAAAAATATTATTGGACGTATAAACTTTTCATTGGACGCGTAATCTGGATAAGAGCCAAGTTTTTTATTTACAGGACTTTATTTCCCAAAAAAGTGAAAATCACCTAAATCGCTATAATCATAAAATATAGACAGGTAAACAAAAAAGCTTTAATTTATTTTTAAGGAACTTTTGTTAGGTTTTATTGTTAGTATTTTCGCTTTATAATATCAATAGATTAAATATTTGCATAAAACGTTTAATTTTCATATTTATTTAATTTTAGTGCAAAAATTGAATAAAAATTTAATTATTCAAGTTTTTTAATAAAAATTTAGAGAAATTTTTTGAATAAAAATTTTAAAAAGATTGATACCAGACAAGCACGAAACTCGAGAATTTTTTCGGGCGAAATGAAACGAAATTTTTAAAAAAATCGTTTAGTTAACGAAGCGAGCTTGGGATTTTCGAGTCGAGCCGTTTCGTGTTTTTCGAGTCTGATTTTTTCGAGTCGAGTTATTCGAGCCTTTTTCGAGCTAAATAACCTCAGCTCGCTCGAGTTTGGATTGTTTGAGCTGGCAACCCTATTTATATTACTCAATCCCTCAAAATTTAATTCCCTAATAATTATTGAAAAAAATTTTTTGTTATAGGCTGTCATCAGTCCTATTACTTACTAAACCATTAAAAATTTATTTAATATTTTTATATTTTTTATCAAAAATGGATGATATTTTAACATCTTTAATTGATTCAGAACCAACTAGTAGAAGAAAATTTGAAAGGTAAAAATTTTAGTTAAGTGGGAAGTGTTTGGATTTTGGGTGGGGGTATAGCAAGGTTCAAACCCTTTCGGGGTGAAACATTTTTAATTTTAAATATTTTAAATAATTTTTGAAAAAGTTTTAGTGAAAATAAAAATATTTTTTCGAGTTTTTAGGCCGTAAAAATGTTTAAATAGTGAAAGGAAAAACAAAGAAATTATTTAATATTTATAGGATGGGTAATAATTTTTTAAGAAGACCAAAAATAATTTATGCATATTTTTACTTATATTTTTTGCAAAAAATTTTATGGGAAATTTTTCTAAAAATTTTTCGGATAAATTTTGCAAAAAAATCAGACAAAAAATAAAAAAAATTTAAATAAAATTTTCCCTTCTTTCAACTGTCTAAAGATCAGACAATATTTTTTGCTTATTTTCTTAAATGCTACACATATTTTACAAAAAAAATTTTCGAAAAATTTTTTTAAAAATTTTTCGCAAAAATTTTTTATTTTTTTTTTTAATTAAAAAATATTTCGAAAAATTTTTCTAAAAAATTTTCGGATAAATTTTTTTTCTAAAATTAATTTTCCGCTTCTTTTTCAAGTGTCCAATCTCGTTATCAACGCCTACACGTTCCCCTAAAAGATGTTGAATGGAATGTTTGTGAATATTGTGGGGAAATTGTCCACCGAATGGTTTTCGAACGTCATGTTTGTATTTATTTTAATTTTTCTAAAATTAAAAAAAATTTTTTTAAGTTAATTTTGCATGAAATGGCTGATGTAACTTATCAACTTTATCACCACGAAATTGATGTTGAAAAAAAACGAGTAGAACAAGTTAAAAGGATTCAAGTATGATTTTATTTAATTTTAATTAGACTTATATGTAAGCTCTTTTTCGATTTTTCTGTTAGGCTTTTCGGTGGTATAGTGGTTAGTGTGTTCGGTTTTTATTGCGTGAAGGTGTTTGGTTCGAGTCCAAAATCAAAACAATATTTTTATAAAGTACGGCTATAAGTTTAGAATTTATTTAAAATGGCTTTGAAAATTTTTTGAAAATCAAATTAATTTTTATTTGCCGAATCCTGATGATTTTTTTTAGATTTTTTTCCTTGTGTTTAATCAACTGACCTCTTTTTTGGAAAAATCTTTTAGGCATTTTAGGGGAAAAATATTTTTAGGATTTAAATTAAAAATTTTTCCTGACGCCTCTCCTTGGTAAAATGGTTAGTATTCGGATTGTAAACAGTAAAGGTGGTTGACCAATTCCACATTATAAGCATTTTTTATTTAGAAATTACTTTAAAATTATTTTTTTCATTCTTAAAAATTTTTTTAAATTAATTTTCCATTTATTTTTAACTTTAATTCTCGATATTTTTCTCTATAATTTTTTATAAATCTTCAAATTAATTTTTAACAAAAAATTTCTTCTCTATTCAGGCTAAAGAAACAAAAGAAAAACGTCGCAATCTAGGCTTAGAGCTCTCCTCTTGTTCCTCCTCTTCTTCATTGCCTTCCTCTTCTGAAGATAATTCTGGTTTTGAAACAGAATCCTCATCATCTACAACAGCTTCAAATTCTTTAATTTATCCAGACAATATTAATTTTAATAAAAACGAAGAAAATGGGAAAGAAAAGAGAAAATCACCAATGACGTTGGATTGGGTTATGGAGGAATTGATAAATGAAAAAGAGAGGAAAAGGCAGAAGAAAATGAAGCAAACAGAAGATGAATTCGGGTAAAAGAAATTTTTAGACTTAAAAAACTTCGAAAAAAAATTTTCAGATTAAAAATTTTTTGCGGACGTCTGCAAATATTTTGCGGACATGTCCGCAAAATATTTTTTTATTTTTTAAAATTTTATTCAGACATCCTAAATTTATTAAAAATTGTACTTTTGCATTATCTCCCCCACAACGTCCATGTTTGTCCGCAAACTTACCTTCCTTCTTTCCTCTTAAATTGATTAAATAATGGTCAAAGATTAATTTAAACAAGGCTAGGCAGTCAAAATACGACAGGCGTTATTTTGCAGATCAATGAATATTTTTTTTTATTTTTTCAACTGAAAAACCTGCAATTAACTTATCTTTTACAATCTTGTACTATCAACAGGAAAGCAATAAAGAGGGCAATGTGGATATATTTATTGACTACCTTTTGCATATTGACTGCCTTATTTAAATTAATCTTTGATCATTTTTTAATTTTTATAAAAGGAGAGGAAAGAAAGAGAAGGTAACTTTGTGGATTAACATTTGTGGACGTTGTGGGGGAGATAATGCGAAAGTATTTTAAAAATTCTGGTCAAACTCGTAAAAATTCTGGCTGGTTAAAATTTCGGTTCTAAAAAAATTTTGGTCAAAAATTGTCCAAAAATGTCGATTTTCTGTATTTATTTGACCATAACTTTTTAGATAATTAACCAAAAAATCCGAATTTTTTATAGAATATAGTTGAGACTATTGACTATAACTTTAAAAATTTTCGAATTTTTATCTCCTCTTTTGATTATTTTACGAGCTTTTAATTTAGCTAAAAACAGCTACTAACCTGAGTGCCGGAATTTTCGTCTCTGGAACATTCGTCTCCAAGACTTTTCGGAACTTTCGTCTCCAACATTTTCGGAATTTTCGTCTCCAGCGGAATATTCGTCACCAAGGAAATAAACGGAATTTTCGTCTCCGCAATTTTCGTCTCCGCTAGGAATTTTCGTCTCCAGAGGAAAACTTCCCCCGTTGTGGAACAACATCCCCGTTGACGGAACACTATCCACCGCTGACGGAACAATTTCCCCCGTTGCCGGAACAACATCCCCGTCAGCGGGGGATAGTTTTCCGTTAACGGGGAAAGTTGTTCCGTCAACGGGGGATAGTGTTCCGTTAACGGGGGAAGTTGTTCCGTCAACGGGGGAAGTTGCCCGTCAGCGGGGGATAGTGTTCCGTCAACGGGGATGTTGTTCCGGCAACGGGGGAAGTTGCCCGTCAACGGGGGATAGTGTTCCGTCAACGGGGATGTTGTTCCGGCAACGGGGGAAGTTGCCCGTCAACGGGGGATAGTGTTCCGTCAACGGGGATGTTGTTCCGGCAACGGGGGAAGTTGCCCGTCAACGGGGAAAGTTTTCCTCTGGAGACGAAAATTCCTAGCGGAGCGAAAATTGCGGAGACGAAAATTCCGTTTATTTCCTTGGTGACGAATATTCCGCTGGAGACGAAAATTCCGAAAATGTTGGAGACGAAAGTTCCGAAAAGTCTTGGAGACGAATGTTCCAGAGACGAAAATTCCGTACACCACTAACCTCTCCTAAAAATTTATTTTTAAGTTTTGACTATTTTGATCAACAACAAACAAGTTTGGCTACTTATATAGAACTTGAAGATGAATTTAATAATTCTGAAAAAAATTCTGGGAAATTAAAAAACAAAAAATCGAGAGAACAAAAATTAACAAAAACAACAAATATTTCAATTAAAAAGAGACCACCCAAAAAAGTAATAAAAATTAAAAAAGAAATTGTTGAAGAAATTCCAATAGAAGAGGAAGTTGATGAAGAAACAGCTTTACTTGAAGATTATGAACATTTGTTGTGTTTGAATAATTTGGGACGGAGATATGAATATGGTGAGAGGGAGGGGAAAATATTTTTTAAAATTAATAAAAGAAAATACAAACCGGAAAATTAAAAATACAAATCAGAACGTTAAAATACAAACTTGAAAAATACATGAAAAATACATGAAAAACACAAAATACAAACCGGAAGAGCATTAAAATACAGACTTGAAAGGGGCATGAGAAAATACATAATAATTACAAACCAGAAAATTAAAAATACAGATCAGAAAAATAAAATACAAACAACTCTAACAATAAAATACAAACCAGAATTAAAAATAAAAAATCAGAAAATAAAATACAATTTGGAAATAAAATACAAATCAGAATATTGTTCCAAAACCTTTTTGTGTTTTTCCGGAAAAACACAAATACACTTATATTCTGATTTTTGTATTTTCTAGTAAATATTCTGATTTTTGTATTTTTGTAAAATACAATTATCAGAATTATTACAATTAAAAATACATTTATTTAATATTCTGATATTTTTTCTATTAAGTTTGTGTTGATTTACGAAGTTGCAAATACTTTGACCGGAAAGGAAATATTAATGTAGCCAATGTATTAAGACAGTCTCCTTCACCGACGAAATCTGTCAGAAGGTCTACAAGGAGGAGTGGGGGTGAGGAAAAAATTTCTTATTTTAGGTAATTTTTTTAATTTTCAGTTGAGCAAGAATTAATTCGTTTGGTTTGAAATTTTTCAATTTTACAAAAATTTGTTTATTTTTGATAAAATGAGACTTACACAGATTTATTTATTATAAAAATTGTTTGTTGAATTTTTTAAAGAAAATTTATTTTTAAAAAATTTATTTTTTGGCAATATTTTTTCTGAAATTAATTTTTTGTTTCAGAATTAAAAAAAGTTTTTCCAAGAAATTTTTCTATTGCCAAAAAAAACCTTTTATTTATTATTTATCGTTTAACACCAGTATTGCCTTTATTCTCCTACTAAAAATATGGTTTATTTAATTTTGTATTCATAGAATTTTATTTTATTATAAAATTAAATTTGGTAGAAACTTTTATTGGCATTTTTTATTTTAAATTTTATAATTATTTGAAATAAATTTTTATTCTGGAGTTCCCTCTTATTTTTGTTGTGAATATTTTCTATAAGATACATATATGTTTGTATTTTCTGGAATGGAATTACCTATTCATAGTTAAACAATAGTCCCCACTTCCGGTATATGTATTTTCCGGAAACGAATGTGTATTTTTGAAACGGAATGTATTTTCCGGAAAATTTATATAAAATAGTTCCGGAAATATAAATATGTATTCGTTTCCGGAATATGTACCGGAATTATTTCTGAAGTTGCTATTTGTATTTTCCGGAATATATTTTTCCGGAAATATTAATATTTATTTTTCCTGATTACTTCACTATTGTATTTCACTTTTATCCGGAAAATATATTTATTTATATTTTCCGGATCAGACAAAAACGAAATAGTATGTAATTTGAATAATTTATAAGTAAAACAGAATCCGGTTAACAGAGGTTAAAAAAATTTAAAAATCAGAATTTAGTAATGTTATTATTATTTTCTTTCTCTACCCTTCTTATTTGCAATATTTGTCCAGGCAATAAATTCAAATAAATATTAGCCAGTAAATTATCCATTGGAATTAATTTATTATTTTCTTCATTTTTATTGTCTTTAATAAATAAATATAATTCTTCTGTTATTTCTTCGTTTAATCTTCTAAAACAAATTTGGCCAAGTAAAATAATTGCTTGGGCACAGGTTGTCCGTTGAGAGATGAAAATTGATTTGTAATTGGACTAGAAAATAAATTTTTTTGTAAAGATTTTGTTAAAAATTTTTGAAAGGAGTTTAAAAAATTCAAATTTTTTCAAAATTAAAATTTGCCTGAGGGCATATTTCTCCATCATGTACGCGTACAAGTATAGCATTGTTATCCATACCAAGAATAAACCTTTAAAAAATTTTTTTTAATTGAAAAAATATTTTTTATTGACCTAGACATTCCTTCAGGTTGACACTTTTGGAGTTCTAACGGATTTGAATTTCCATCTAATATTTATTAAAATTATTTTTTAATAAAAATTTTTTACCAAGTTGAATAATATTACGCCTTATTTCCACCAAACCGACAGAATTGCGTGTTGATGTCCGTATTTCCATTAATAAATAAAAGAGATTTAAATCTCTCAATTGTAAACGTAATTTCTCCCAAACAAGAAGGCGAATAATCTTTTTTAATTAAAAAATAAATTTTAGAAAATTTCAGAATTTCTGGTTTAATATTTTGAAAATTATGGATTTTAATCAGAAATATGAGAAACACACAAAAATAAATAACAATTAATCAGAATTAAAATAATAGAATCAGAATTTAATAGAAGCAAGTTATGTATTAGCAAATACAATTGTTGAAGAATAAATCAGAATTAATAAATCAGAAATTCTGAATTAAAAAAATCAGAATAAATCAGAATTTTAGAAAACAGAATTAAATAAAACTATTAAAAAGAAAATAAAAACCAGAATAAAAAATCAGAATTTTAAAATAAGAATTAATTAAAATCAGAATTAAACAGAATTTTGAAGAGAAAGTTCTAAATCAGAATTAGATCAGAATTTAAATTAAACCAGCAGAATTTAAAACTTTAATTAAAACCAAAATTTAAAAAAAAAGTTGAAAAATACAAAAACAAAAATTCTGAAAATATCCTAGTTTAATTAATTAAAGTTTATTTAATCAGAATTATTTTTATTTTTACAAACTTACTTCATTTGTAGTTGTATTTTGTGAAATATAAAGAGTTTTGTAATCTGTATCTGGTCTAACTTTATTTGTATAAATTCTTAAATGATGACGGAATTCCTTAAAAATTTTATTTTTTTTTCAAATTTTTTTAGAAAATACATTTAATTGTTGTAAATTATTTAATGATGTTGGTGAGTGTTTATGAAAATTTAAAAGTTTAAATGATGGACTGGGGGAGGGGGAAGTGTTTATATTGTTGTTGCAGCAACACGAACATTTAAGTTGTTTACATGGCAAAAGTAATTGCTTAAAAAATTAAAATTGTTATCGAGAGATTTCCCGATATAACGATTGGAAATACTGAAGATTGTAATGATAAAGATTGGTAACACTACTTTTTTCTCTTTATTTTTAAATTTTGTATCAATGGTAATCAAAAGAAGTAACTTTAGATAAGAGGATATGCACATTCAATAAAAAATATTAATCTTCTGTTTATTAAATTTGTAAGCACACCATTGAAGACATACACCCTACAGACCTATTGACCATTAGGCCTTAACGCCAAATGACCCTGAGTAACTACAACCTTTGAAATGGAATATCAAAAGGGAATAACGAGGGACATGGAGTGATTAAGGGGATATCGATGGATTTTACGTTATGTAGAACAGGGTAGGGAAAAATGTGGTCTGTACGCTTCAACATTACCCAGAGTAGTTATCCCCTCTTAACCCCTCAATATTTCCATTGATGTAGGCATAAAGGGTCATCAGGCGTTATGAGTGTTGGCCGTCAGGGTCAATATTCCCCTATTCTTATTTTTTACAAATCAACAAAGATTAAAATTTATTGAGAACGTTCACACGGATAAAAAAGTGAAACATGATGCCAGAAATTATAGAAAACATTTGAAATATCACCAAAACGTTCGCGCCATAGGAATTCAGGATCGACGACAATATCTTAATTAGAAGTTAACACTAGACTATGCCTCCACCCCATGAAGACCTACTGACCTAAAACTCTTGAAAGAGAATTCCAAAAATATAGAGGGTGAAGGGATATAGATGGATTTGTGTAATTGAAGGCTCTCAAACCCCTAGATATTCCTTTCAAAAGTTGTAGATTTTCGTAGTGTAGGTCTTCATGGACGACCTCCTAGACCATAACAGCAAATTACCTCTTCCTCCAATATGATTTCGAGCACAGAACATGGCACACACATTCTTGAATGAATTCAACCACTTCTGAAGTGCATTTCGACCAATTCCGATCTCAAATTCCAAATCAGCATAATTACCAAATTGACGAGTCCACAGAAAAGAAAGATGAAAAATTTGTTTTGTTGTTAGATGTGTTCCTTGAAAGAAAGTTCCAGTCAAGTAGCCTCGTTCTGCCCTACAATTCATCATACTACAGCGCCAAGTTCCGAATCGAAGGCACTTTTTATGTTTAATAGTTGTTCGACCTCCACATTTATTACAGGTCCGTTTTTCATGAAGAAGTCCAAGTTCCTTGAGCCATGCATCGAAATCGTTGTCGTTTAAACGTAGTTTTTCATGAAGATGTGAAGATTTAAAATTTTTCAGTTGTTCCATAAGAATGTAATAAAAATATTAAGAACTAAATCATTACAAAAATTAAAAAAAAACAGCTCAAGCTTTACATCTCACCCATTAGCAGACACTAATGCTGAATTTTACCAGGTCGAATTCCATTTAGATATTAAAATTTTCTGGCTAGACTGACAGCTCGAATTCAGATCTGGGATCCGAAATAGAATTTGACCTGATATTCGGATTCAGCACGCCTAATTACCTACTGGAAAAGCACTTCTTCCCCATATTTTCTAAGAAGATGAAAAAAAGTGAAAAAAGGTGTCCTTGTCACCTATGTATTGCAGAGTGAAATTAATTAGCAAAAAAACTAAAAAATAAATAGTATAAAAAAACAATAAACATTTTTGTTTATTTCTCTAACTACACACTATCTCATTTTAATAAAAATTAACACAACGCCAAACACACCGCCAAAAAATTTTTAAATTCAAAGCGACAATACATCCTTTTTAATAGTTTCTTAACAAAATGTTAATAAACAGATTTTTAATCACCAAAATTACATTTGTACGACAACATATTTTCAATTAATTCTTTTTTGATTACCAATGATAAAAAAGGTCGAAATAATACAATCTTCAGTATTACCTAACAATTTTGTATATGTCGATACTCAAGTTCAACTCTGAACTCTAGACGTTACACGATTTATTGGTTTTGATTTTGGAATAGAAAAATAGATAAAGTTCCGTTTCATCAAAAATTTCGGTTCCTGTCAAAAACACTAGCTTAGACCTACACCAAATACCGTATTTATTCTAATAGAATGGCCGCCACTCTATTTTTCGATACCCGCAAAAGGGGGCCATTCAATTGGAAGGGCCATTCTAATGGAGGTGGCCATTCTATTTTTCATAGGTTAGAATCTGAGACTTTGTTTAGTGAATCTTTCTTTTCGTAACACTATAAAACATTAAGTCTTTTGCCTGCTGGGCAAAAAGGCAACTTTTTATGTACTTCGGTGCCACACAATCAAAATCTCCGGTACATTTGGCTCCTAAAAGTTCATGGGATCTTGGAATTTTGACGTAATATATTAAAATCGGAAGAGATTCGGAGGGATATTGATGAATTTGTATGATATCTAAGGATTAATGAGTACTGAAAATTCTGCAGGGTGTAAATTCAAAAGAGTTCTGGAAATTCTAAACTACAAAAATTCGAAAATTTTGTCTTCAATTTCCAAAATTTTAAATGAAATTAGAACAATCCATCTCACCAAATCCATCATTATTCCTGTAAATCCTATGTATCCCACATAGCAAGTTCTCTGATAAATCAAATCTATCCAATCCATGAATATCTAACCTTAAGTCTCTTAATTCCTTGATAGTAGTTATCTTCAGTAAATCTTTGTAATTTCGTAATACCACTTCTAATCCTCTTAATCTCCCTGTTATGACTCCAGATTTGCTCAAAAATATTATGATTATCCTAACTAAAGAGTACTATTTAACAGGTAATAAGAAAATAAAGAAATGTATTAGGTATATGTTTTGTAGTTAAAAGGGCCATTCTATTGGAGGGGCCATTCAAATAGAGGTGGCCACTCTATTTTTCGATACCCCCAAAAAGGGGCCATTCTATTAGAGGGGCCATTCTATTAGAATAAATACGGTAAGTCCTTTTTATTAGAGAGTATTTTTAAAAATAAAAAAACCTCTTTTTTATCTTCTTCTTCGTCAAACGAAAATGAAGAAAAATAACGACTATTTCTCTTAAAATTTGAAGAATTTGAAAAATTAGAGGAAGAGGAACAGGCAGAAGGAATTGAAGAAAGTGAAGGGGAATTACTTGAAATTAAAGTTGTTGTTTTTGTTGTTGTAGGTGGTTGTTTTGAAAGGGAGGAGGAAGAAGAATTTATTTGGAATTTTAACATTTTTTAAATTAAAAATATTTTCTAAATTAAAATTTTTAGTAATAGTTTTGGCCATATTTTTTAGTAACAGAGTTGTTAATACGTCACACTTTAAGGAAAAAGTGCACCGACGTGTGAATCAGATTGATGTGGGATAGTGTGAGTCAAATCAGGCTATGAACAATTATTAGGCTGAACTGACATATAATTGAAACTGAGGTGTTACTGGGGAGCGGTTAGGGACGATTCCGCGCCGACGATTCCGCGCCGACGTTTCCGCGCCGACGTTTCCGCGCCAGGTCAGTTCCGCGCCATGTCAGTTCCGCGCCAGCACGTTCCGCGCCAGTTATAAAATAAGTAAATAATACCTGAACACGAGCCGGTCCACTTTCTATACATGTATGATTATTTACTTAAAAAGATAATGGCTTTTTAGAAATCAAAAAAATTTAAAAATCACAGTATCACATATTTTGTATAGCTGGCGCGGAAACGTGCTGGCGCGGAACTGACATGGCGCGGAACTGACCTGGCGCGGAAACGTCGGCGCGGAAACGTCGGCGCGGAATCGTCGGCGCGGAAAGATACCCCACCGACTGGGGAGTCGTATTAGCGGGATTTGAACTTAATGCTTGGCCCAATCTTTCAAATACATATTACACCTATTTAATTTTGAAAAGTGGGTTGATTTCAAACGAATTTTGACGTTTTTCAGGTTCGGCTAGAAAAATAATCGAATTTCAGTGTACGGGCATTGGAACAGAGGTTTTCCCGCAATTTTCTAGATAATATTTCTTCGATTGTGGACAGCTTTGTTTCGAATGGCAAAGTGACATTCCTCCTCAACCTTATAAACAGAGGAGGGGTTCTATTTAATAGTAGAGGTTTTATTGAAGAGGGGGAGTAAGGAGATTTAATTAAATATTGGGGAGATTAAAAGAAGAAAAAAAAGGATTATATTTCCAAGTTCACCACCAAAAAGATTTATTAATAGGGACGGAAATGAAACTTTTGGCCTCTAAAAGAGATGAAAATTAATGTTTTTATGTATTGAACGGTGTTTTTGTTGGTCAAAATCTTAATTTTTCAACTAAAAATAGAAAAATTAAAAATAATGAAAGGAAATATTGGATATTTATGAGTTTTAAGAAATATGTACATTAAATTACTTAAAATATTTACAAAAAATGTTATTAATCCCGCAAATCATGGCTATGTGCTTCGGTATTTGGCCGCTAAACGATGATTTTGGAGCACAGCATTGGAAAGCATCGTATTAATTCCGGAAAAATTATTATTTTCCGGAAAACATTATTATTACTTTGAAGAGTCAAAAAAAACATTTTCAGAAAAAATCTTTTTATCAAAAACTTGTACGACACTCGGAACTATTTACTTTAACTACCCACCCCAAAATTTTACTGAGGGATTTTCCATTTAGATTTGAATTTTTTTGAAAGAGCTCGACGAGCTGAATCGAAAGCTAATAAAATCAGCTTTATTTGATGATTTTGAACAAAATTACGAGCAACTGAATTATTGCTGGAATAACTGCTTTTGTGCGGTTAGGGGAATAGGTCCGCAGTTCAAGGCTGAAAATCGGTAAAAAATGTATAGGTTTATGTCACTGGTGTAGAACTCGGTGACCGTTGACTCCCCGCGTGACGTGTGCTGATGAACCACTCGCGAAACGCGGGGTTTTTCTCAAGGTTTGCTTTGACCATTTTTAGCTCAGTTGTCTCAGCTCAATCATGATTTTGATGTCATTCGATTCAGCTCGTCGAGCTCTTTCGAATGATATATAAATTGTCCATGTACAAAATACATCCTGCAAAATTTTGGGGTGGGTAGTTAAAGTAAATAAGTTCCCGACACTCAATTAACCATAGATTTTCCCGGCCCTAAAGTGACAAACAAGCAAGATCCGATGCCATTTGTACAGACTTTCAACAATAAATCTCACTGCATAAGGGTGTCGTACAAGTAAGATTCCGTCTGTAGTATTTTAAAATAATTATTTAAATATTTTTAAGATAAAATAATTTCTTTCAAAAAAAAATAAAGAAAAAAATAAATAAAAGAAAAAGCAATTGAAGGAGGCAAAAAGGATTTTAAAAAGTAATAGAAAAAAAGGAATTATGCTTATTAATAAATATAAGTACATATATGTGGGGGGGGGCATTATGTGTGTGTGTTTCTCCTTTACATATAAGGAGAACATTCCTTTCCTCCTTCATTCAAAAACACACAAGTTTTTGGTTGTGTTGATGTTGTCACTCATTCAGTTAAAATCTAGATTTTATATAAAAAGAGGGGGGAATATTTAAAAGAAAAAATGAAAAAAAAAGAAAAATATGCCAGAATTAATGGAGGAAAATTAATGAGGAATAAAATGGAGGAAGGGAGAAATAAACAGAAAATATAAAAAGTTTTTGATTTATAAACTGAATATTGATCAAATAATTTATTAAAACAACTTTAGAACATAACCAAAAACATTTTCCTGAAGGAATATTCCGGAAAACACTAAAAGAAATACTAGAAAAACAAATTCCACAAAAACACAATTTTACATAAAAACAAACACATTCCAGAAAAACAATTTTAATAAAATATTTTCCGGAAAGCTAAAAACAAATATTTTTATAAAAACACAATTTTCTGAAAACAAATTAGAATAAACTTTTTCCGGAAAACACATGAGTAATTTTTCACACTCCGTAAAACCGGAAATAATGTCTTGTATAACCCGTATAACCCTTATTTTCCCTTATTTTTTCCATAATCAAGGAAAAAGATAAAAAAGATAAATTTTGGCTATATAATAAATATGAAAATTGTAAAAAAGGAAGAAATACATATTTAGAATAAACAAAAATAATAAAATATTTCCAGAAAAATCATCATTATAAAAATTTTTCTTTTAATAATATGAGCATATTTCTATCTAAAACGCTGATTCATTTTAGTTCATAAATTTAATATTATAAATACATAAATTAAGTTTATGTATGTATATTTATTTTCAGTGTGTAGTTTTAAGATTTTCCTACAAACTAGGGTTCAACTCCGTCCCCGGGACAGTGGGATGCTCTCCCCCCCAGAGTTACACTATGTACATATTGCGATTTATTTTCTGATTTTTGTCTTAATTTACTCATTTTTTTCTAAAAAATGAGTAAAATAATGATTTAGAACATTTAAAAATTTATAATTTAAATTGAAAAAGTAATAAAAAACAAAATTAATAAAAAAATTTTTTCAAACATTGTGACTTATACTTTGTAAATCACGGACACACCTCGGGTCGTAACAAATGGCTAGTATTATTACATGAACTCCACCGTGCAAAGCGCTCAATGTTTATTTAAAACGATTTTTAAAAAACCAAAAATTAAATAAAGATTTATACTTTTACAATAAATAGGGAAGTTAACAACTTTTAATCAAAATAATTTTTAAAATTATTTTCAATAATTTAACAGAAATTGTATTCTTTGTAGTAGACTGTAGATACCTCAATACTTTTTTGTTATTCTTTTTATTTTTTTCCGTTTTATGTTTCTAAAAGTGAAAATAATTAGCAGATTTATTATAATTTTTTTGTAAGTTATTGCATGTTACTAAAATAAGAGTTCAGCAAATTTTTATAAGAATCAACTCTAAGAAGATTTTTAACAATAAAAGCCTCAATATTTTTTTGTCATTTTTTTTTCACTAAATTAAACACCCTGAATAATTCGCCATTTGAAATCCCTCCCATTCGAAAAAGAGGTATACCATTGGACGGGATATCACGGGTATCAGGGCTTAGTAATTGAATCGGAAAATAAAGGGGATTTAAAGTGATATAGGGTGTGATTTATGCGGATTTGAAGGATTAGGCCGGTATCCGAACACCGAATCCAAATCCACTATATTATTTTTCCTTCACTAAATTAAATTTTTGGAGCAAATAATAACTTTAAATATTAAAATAACATTAAAGTAAATATGTTTTATATTAAAATCATGAAAATCAAGTCAACCTTTAAAACAGGGCTCGGATCGACAAAATGCCAATAAAAAGTACAAAAATCTTGATTTTAAAGTACATAGGGGCAAAATTTCCACATTTAAAGTACACTTAAAATTAAATTAGAAAATATTTATTCGTGCTCAAATCTTTTATATTTCTCTCTTAAATTAATCTTTTCTAATAATTTCTTGTTTCAACTTAGCATTTTATCAATTTCAATGCATCTTTTTTTTTGGGCCGAAGGCGCCAAAAAATTTATTTTTTGCGCCGCAGGCGAAAATTTTGAGAATTTTGGAGGTCCTTAAGCCAGATTTCTTCCATTTTTTGCGCCGCAGGCGAAAATTTTGAGAATTTTGGAGGTCCTTAAGCCAGATTTCTTCCATTTTTTGCGCCGCAGGCGAAAATTTTGAGAATTTTGGAGGTCCTTAAGCCAGATTTCTTCCATTTTTTTCAAAATGTTGATTTTAAAGTACATACTTTCAATAAAGTACAAATTCAATTTCGTAAGTACGGAGGTCGATTTTAAAGTACTGTACTTTCAAATAAAGTACGAATCCGAGCCCTGCTTTAAAATAACACTTTATACGCAAAAACCCCACCCTTATCTTTCTATTTCATTTGTCAGGAGGAGCAGGAGGAAGTTGTGCCAAAACTCCACCTGTATTTTCCATTATTATTAAATTAATGATAAATAAAGCAATGTAAATTAAAAATAATAATTTTGTCATAATTTTAGAGGATAAAATATTTATGAATGGTTATTTAAAAATTGGGAATTGGATAAAAATTTAAAAAAGTAATTAAAATTTGTTTAAAGTAATAGAGCTTTTATAATAAAACTTTTTATGATATTATAAGCTAAATAAACAATTTATTTTAATATGAAGAAATTTTAAATTTTATATAAAAAAGGTTGATTTAAATATGGGTTGGGGGCGTTTTGGCGCGAAACTCGCTACTGACACTTATTAGGCGAAACCTAAATTCATAAAAATTTTCTCAAATTTCTTACTAATTCTTGACTACTTCCTCCAAAAATTTCAGGGTTTTCCAGCAAATATTTCTGAAGTTATAGTCGATAAACCTCGAAAGATTAGGATTTTTCTGAAAATCCACATTTTTGGCTATAGTTTTCGAAATTCTTTCTTGAAAATTCTAAAATCTTTGAGAAATTAGATAAATATATAAGATTAATTATTAAAAATTTTACTTTCTAGATAAGCAATTCACTATCGGTACACCTCAATTGAGTCCCGACTCAATTGAGTCCCGGACCCTATAACTTATGAAGGGACGGTCACTTTTTGTTACTCTTGGTACCATTAGATAGGGCATTAAATAGGCTACAATATACCAAAAAATCAAAATTCTTGACCGACTGGTAAAAAAGTTATGATCGATAAAGTGCCGAAAAATCAGATTTTTTTGAAAAAGTTAGTTTTTAAATCATAACTTTTTTATCAATCGGTCAAAAATTCTGATTTTTTGATATATTATAGAGCTTTTAATTCTCTATCCAATGATACCAAAAGCATTAAAAATTATCAACCCGTACTTGAGTTATAGGGCCGGGACTCAATTGAGCCGGGACTCAGTTGAACTGCTCCGATTCACTATTTTATAATCCCGCGCCAAAACGGCCCGGTCCCGTTAAATATTAGATTTGAAAATAAAAATTTTATTGATGTGCACTTTCCTCAAATAAATCCACATTAATGCACGAGACGTGCCTTATGAAAAAAGTCTGATTGTGAGTATTTAAACAGTTAAACAAATATAAAAAATTAGAAATTCACATCAGGGTGGCCATTTCCAAATCACCAAAAAGGGGCATGGCCTCTCAAATAGGGGGCAAAAAGGTGGCATTGCAGAAAAGGGGGCAAATGCCCCCTGAAGGCATGCCCCCTGAACAATCGTAAAAAAGAACGAGAGAAAAGTATATTCACATCAGTGATGCAATAAGGCCAAGGTTAGCACAAATCTCCCATACTATGTATTTAAAAATAGGGAAAAGTCGGCGGAAACCAAATTACCATCTGTACACTACACTATATCCAAATATTTATTTTTAAAGATTTTATTCAAATTACATTTTTTATACAAAATTTAATTATTTAATATATTGTATAGTTCTATCGGGCATTGAAGTTTCCGGCATCGGAGCTATTTGTTGAATATTTGAATTATTCTTGCATCGAAATATTATTTGTCTATAATTTCTTACACTCAAAATTGTTACCTTTTAAATTTCTTTTTTAAAGTTTAAGAAAATAAATTAGCTCACAAAAGGATTAAAAACAGCAACCAAAGATGCCAGACTACAAATAAAGAAACCAATAGATGATGAATGTAATCCGGACAAATTAAATAAAAAATTTAAATTATTAGACAAGGTAGCGAGATAGGATAATATAGGTAGAATTGCCTATAAATAAAAAAATGAAAGAAATTAGTGACGTCCAAGTATTTTTTATCCTTAGCTCCATCCCAGTTAGTTGGGTCAGTTAAAATTTTGACGAAAAACCAGGTTTCTCGGAGCGGTTTGGAGATAAAATGAATTGGGTGATTAATATCACAGGGATTAGGGTGGATTTGGATGGGCTAAGAGTTATATCAAGGGATTTAAACATAAGAGAGATATGTGAGATTAAAAGGATTTTGGGGAGATACGAATCATGATATCATTTTTAAACCTCCGGTATTCTCTCCAAATCACAGATATACCTCCATAATAATTCCTGTAAACTCCCTATATCCTTTATCCTTTCAAATCCCCAACTATTAAATAGTTGTAAGACAAAAGAGGGACAATAAGCCAGAGTCATTTCCTAACCTTATCGAATATACTATTTTAATTTTGAAAGGCCACTTCGGCATACCCTCGTCTCAAATTTATGACTTTTAACTTTTAAAACTATTTAATTGAATATTAAAAAGAAGGTGTCCAAAATAACACCTTTACCACAATTATTTACCTGCGCCCCCAAAACAATACTCATTTGTTTATTCATATTACGTAATTTGATCATTTCTACTCCTTTACAATAACGATAAACATGTATTTGAATACGTATACCACAAAAAATAATTATTATATAATTAATTATTGTTAATGCTGAAGCGTAATTTGAAGTAAAAATTGAAAGGTCGTTAGTCTTAATTATGTGAATTGAATTATCATATAGTCGCTCCAGAATGGGGTTATTGGTTCTATTAAATTATTTAGATATTCCAAAATGAGCCGGGAAATTATCCGTTTTTGTTACGGTCCTGAAAAGACACTACTGCACTAAGGGGTTTCTGATTTGGAATTTAGCTAAGTGCTTAACTTACTCTTGCTCTAAGTCCAACAACATAATGTTCAATAGTATAATTATCCAATTCTAATTTATTTGTCAACTCAAGATTCGTTAAATATTCATTTTCTGATGTTGGTGCGTTTGAAATATAGGCAAAAATAAATAATATAAATATTGGAATTATCAAGCCAAAAATTAATAATAATTGGTGTTTAAATTTAAGATCAACTTGGCTATAAAGGATGTTTTATTTTGAAGGATTGTCTTAAGGTTTACCGTACAACAGTAAAATAACGATAAATAAATAATGTAGAGACATTCATTGAAGTAACTCTCATCATAAAATTGTTAATAGAAACAAGTATAAATTGCCAGGGATTTGGTAAGAAGTGTATAGGCCCGTAACTCCACATTGTTCCAACACCATTATCAGAAATATAAGCCTATTTTTAATTAGATAAATTAACTTTATTTTAATAAATTTGCCCTATTTGCCGTAGTAACACGAGAATTCTAGCAAAAGTTAAGGGCAATCACGCCCAAACTTTCCCGCGCCCAAATATTTATTTGTTTACCGGTTGAGAAACAACAAACATACAAATCCCAACAATATCAACAAAACATGTTTGTAAAAGTATTTTGCTATAAACTTGCATTTCTTTCATTGTATAACGTAAAATTAGCCAAATTAAAAAGAAATTAGAAAACAATCCAAATGTAGCAAAACAATAGATAATTGTTGAATATATTTCTCCTAATAACATTTTTTTATTTTTAAAAGGAATGTTTTTTGGTTCGAGACTTAACTCTTTTCAACTGCTAAATTTATTGTTTTGCTTCATTTAATAAATGTGAAATATCTGAGTTTTAAAAATTTTTATTGAAAATGTCACGCAACTATAATATTTTTTAAGTTTCAACTGTTTACTATTCAATCAAAAAAATTTTTTAGAATAAACAATTTAGACACGAAAAGTAAAATTAATTTTGAAATTAAAAAAAATATTGTCAATATTAGAGTTTGAAATTTAAAAAATGCCGGATACGTTTTGCGGATTTTTAATATTCTCCCATCTGTACAGGATTTTTTAAAAGCCAATTTGAGAATTAAAGTTAAAAATTAAATTTGTGAATAAAAAGTATTAAAAACAATTTTTTATTAGTGTAATATCGAGTATATTTGTTGTTTATTTTTTTAAATCAAAGAAATTGTAAAAATATTTTTTTGTTTATGTGGTAGTTAAATATATATATTTTTTTTGTCAACAAGCCTTTAATCCAAAATTCATCATCGAATCCTGCGAAATATTTTCATCTATATGAAAGGGTTAAAATCATCCAAAGTAGAAGGAGCTCGACATCGAGGACAATATGGTGTCTAAAAATGTTTAAAATAAAATTTATAAAGGTATTTTAAGCTATTTAGGTTATACTTTTTGTTTATGGGAAGTTTGATTCGTAAAAGAATTAAGAGACTGACAATGGATTTATGGCCTCTAACGTAATGGGGCAGAGCATTGAGCATAGGTTCTGATGTGCTATTCAAAGTCATAAAAACTCGACAAATAATGTTATCTGGTTAGTAGTAAATCTAGAAATAAATTTCCTCACCCCTCCTTCAATCCAAGGAGTAATACAATTCTGATGGTATTTATGATGACATTTCAAAGTAGTAAGAACACTGTAAGGACGCAGAGTATTGCAAATACAACATCGACCAAATTCCATTTTTACTCTAAAAAATTAAGTTTAAAAATTCAAAAAATAAAAGAAGGTATTAATAGAATTTTTATTTAAAAAGAGGGGAGAATCTTCAAAACTGGAAGAAACACAACATTGGGAATTCGGATAAAAATGAAAAAAAATTAGATATTAAATGAAAATAAACAATTCTAGCATAAAATAAGGTGTTAAATATTTTTTTATTTTTTGTATTCATTCTTTTTTCCTCCCATTTGTGACCTTTCCTCCTTCAATTTAGCTTGGAGTAAATATTTAAAATATATTTGTATTTTTATTAAACTTAAGGGTTTTATTAGACAAAGATAATTTGACCTATTTATTTATTATGTTCAGAAATTTGCTTAACGTAATTGTCAAAGCAAATTTTATTTAGAATCCAGTAAGGCTGCCGATTTTCGACGTGTAATGCAGTATTTTATATAAATCTACTGTTTATGTTTAAAAAATTTTCTTAAGAACAAATCCAGAATTAATTGTTTATTTTCCCTTATAGCAATTTTTCCGGATTGGACATATCCAAACATAACTTCCAAATCTGGTAAAAAATAAATAACTTTCGTTAACGAAAATATTTTGAAGGAAATTTTAATAGTTGAAGGTTTGATGCAAGACTTTTTTCGGGTTTTCTATCTTGTTCTCGAATTTCTGGGTTTTTATGAAATATACAGTGAGAGGAAATTATGAGGGGATAAATTTAGACAATTTTGATGCAGAATGTTTTCTTTAAAAGAAAGTATGTATAATTTCAAATTATGTAAATAAAAGCATGATTCTAAAAATTGTTGAAATATACAAACTTAAGAATTCTCAATTTCAAAATTAATTAAAATAATGTAACGGAATTGCTTCAAACAATTTAACAATGCTTATAAAATAAAAAATAAGATATAAATAAGTACATGGTTTTTAACGAAAAAATAGCAAAATGAAATTATAAGGGCTGGTCTAGTTTATGAGTCCATTGAACTTTTATAATTCAATAAAAAGTTTTGATTAACTCACAAACTAAACAAGAGCCAGTATATCTTTATCAATTTATCCATTAACATCCAAACCAGCCTTTAAAGGTCTTCCAAGCATTAGAAACACTACTTTGTATTCCACCAGAAATAGTTTTGTATGGGTTTTGGATAGCATTACAAACATTTTCTGCAGCCTTACAAGCCATACTAACATCAACAAGTGTTCTACTAACATCCTCACTTGTATTAATAACAGCAACACAGACTTTGTCAATTGAATGACAAACATAGACAACAGCACCAAGAATAATCCCCACAGCAGCCCCAATAACAGATCCAATAATGGCGCCTTTAAAACCTCCAAATAAAAGTCCAACAGCGGCACCAACAACCGCCCAATTAAAAGTGGCATTGTTAACTGCGTGATTAAAACTGTAAGCTGGAACCGTGCATTCTGTTTTGACATCTAAATAGGATAAGCTGCAAATTAATTATTTTCCTTAGAAAAGAGTTACTCATAATTAAGAAAGAGCATGTGATTAGGAACGGGACTCTGTTATTGGAATCAATAGTAGTCGAATCAGTACAAACCTAACAGTCCAATCTCTATTGATGATCAGGGTGACCCTTTCCAAACCACTAAAATAGGAATATTATCATTCCATAATCCTTTTCTATCTAAAAATACTATCATAAATCCTTTTTTATCAAAAAAACTCCTAATTCTTAACTTTCCACTTTAAACCTCAAATTAAAAAGGAAAAGGGGATTTTTTAAAGCTAAACATTAAATACTTGTATTGTTGAAGTCATCCTCATCGTATTTTATTTCGTTATTAACACACTGATCATCATTTGGAAATCCTTTCGAATCTAAAAATTTGAGTATGAAAGATTTCTGAATTTAGTTCAAATATAAACTATCTCAAAAATTGTTATTATTGTCTAATATTTTAATCAAAAACTCAATATTGTTTAACAGAGTTAAAAAATACGAAATAGGATCTCTTCCCACTTATTCTCCCCAACAAAGTGAAAATCGGCAGATTTAAAAGTTCCAACCCATAACTATGTCGATAAGCACACATCTGCTTTTTTAGAACCAATGGTCCGGTATTATGTGTGTGTACCATAACTATGGGTCAGCAGAGGTTTAATGCCTAAAAGATTTAATGGGAATAGGTGAACCCATTAGAAGTAGTGGTATAAACATCCAACATTGCGTTGGTTCTTGAAAGCAAAAATGGGTACTTATCGTCATAGAGTATATGTTGTAACAAGTGGTAAGTCTAAGGGGGGAGGGGGGGGGTACGAAGTTCAATTTAACCCAAAAATGTTAATTTAGGAAAATTACCATTTGATTTAATCAATTTTTCAGAATTTTGATTTGTGTTTCTTATGCTGTAATCACCTTTAGCATTTGATGAATCATTGGAATTTAAAAAACGATTATAATTATTTAATGCTGCCATAAATCTGTCCAAAACATCATCACAATTATCTTCTACTGACATATCGTCAGAAAATTAACTTAAATATTAAAATAAATATTTTTGCTTTAAATTTTTTAAAATATTCGATAATTTAAATTGAATAATTTAACTCAGATCAAGCCTTAAAGACCCACCCAGGTCCATAACTTATTTAACACAGGACCATAACTTCGATGCATGGCGGCAGTTGGTGGCTGCTTTAGTGTAGTCCCAGTAATAGCAATTATACAAATGACACGCAGTTAGTGGGGAGGCAACCGGGACCAGAGCTGGGGGAAATTTAGATTTTTGGTTTCGTTTTCGTTTTGTAGAGGGCGAAATTTTATTTTCGCCCAGCTCTGATCGGGATCGGGAGTATTCAAAATTTATTAAATATTTGTTTAGTTTAAGAATTACATAATATAAAAACAATTATTTAATTCTGTACAAATAACTAACGATTATTCATAAGCAATCTTTACCCATTGCTGCATTATAGAAATTGACTTGAAAAAGGAGAGAAAAAGTTAAAGATCAACGTTAATAAATGTGGGAAATATGAAATGTGGAATTAATCTGAACTAATTTTGAATTTTTTGTTAATTTTTAAAATGAACAATTGAAATTAAAATGTGATTAATGTTTACTGTGATTGATATTCAATGTGATTGATATTATTTACTTTTAAATATTACGGGAGAACAGAATTAGGATAGTGAAGAATTAGGATAGTCTCCTCATGTAATCCATATGCCCATATATCGTTTAAATCAAGATCCAAACAGATCCTCGATTTAAGAGTTAAGAAGGATAAGAGTAATTCCTACTCCAAATCCTCTGATATTCCATTTTAGTTCAAAAATGAAGGACAAGAATGTGAGACACCGAGTTGGCTTCAACAATTATGTTAATTGACAGAATTTAGCAATTTGAATTCCTTTATTTATACCCATTAAAATATTTTTGCCAGAGCGTTGATAAATTAAACTTAAAAATAGGAAAATATGTGTTTATAAAAATGCACACAATAAAGTTTTTCTTTTTTTCATCTTCCTTTTCCTATTATTTTTTTGTAATGATTAAATCAATGGTAGGCCGACATTTTAAAGCTTATGTAATTTTAATATTGTGAATAAAGCCTAAAAACGAAAAAATAAGCTTTCTCCTATAAAAATAAGTAGAAAATTTGTAATACAAAAGGGGTCGAAAAAATCGGTAACAAATTTTTAGATCCAATCATTGAAAATTTAACTCCTAAATCGTTCTGAATTTCTGCCATATAGTTTCATAACGCATAAAATAACATTATCAGATCCTTAAAATGGGTCTAAAAATCATTTCAAATTAATCATAACCCATTTAAAAATTTATTTACCTGGAGATTCAGAAAAAAATTGGGTGGCTATATACTTTTGGAACGGAGTGTATGTAGTTTTCCAATTGACCTTAATCTCGAAAAAGAAAAAATCGAAAATCGTTAATACTATTTGAAATAGTTAAAAATTTTTTGAAAAAAAATTTAGTATTCAAGGAAAGTCGATATATCAGCAGAAAATTCAGTATAATTCTCTTGAATATTTTGAAAAGAATTCGGAGCTAAAAAGCGCATCAACCATGCTAAAATAAAAATATTATTATTCATTTTGTATTAATTTTTTGTTTCCGTTTTCCATAGTAAAAAATCTAGAAATGAGAATTTGAATAAGATAATATCAAAATATCATTATTTAAGCATTTTTTAAACTAAAGCAATATACCTTTCAATTTAAATTTTATTTTAAAGTAAATTTCTATCAATTAATTTTTACTATATCCTAAAAATATGTATATTCATATAAAAAATACTTTCACAAACAGTCATCATTTAATTATAATTTATTTTATTTTGGCAGAAAATTTATGTTATATAATCATTTTTAGATTCACATGATCGCTTTATTTATAATAGTGATGTTCGAGAGTCAAAAAATCCCGAGAGTCGAGAGTCGAGACCGAGACCGAGAATCAACCCCGAGACCGAGACCAAAACGAGAGTCGAGACCGAGAGTCGAGACCGAGAGATTAAGAGGGATATCACTTGATGTCCCTCCTAATCCCCAAAAATCCCTTGATATACCTCAAAATCCCCATACTCGCTTGAATCCACTTGTCCACAATATATATTCAATGATATTCACATTAATCTCTTAAAATCCCCTCATATCCTTCCATATCCCTACAAATCCAACAATATCTTTTTGATCCATCGATGCACCCATCCCTTGATATTAAATTTTATCCTTCAGAATCCACAGTATCTAATATACCACAAACCACAAAATCTAATCCTTTAATCTTATTAAATTCAAATTTTTGCTGCATTTTTGGCGCCGCAGGCGAAAATTTTTTGAATTTTGGAGCTCAAGAAGCCAGATTTCTTCCATTTTTCAGCGCCGCAGGCAAAATTTTGGGAATTTTGGAGCTCAAGAAGCCAGATTTCTTCCATTTTTCAGCGCCGCAGGCAAAATTTTGGGAATTTTGGAGACTTTTCCTTAAAAATTTTAATATCAAAGTACGCAAGGTCCGAGTAAAGTTCAAAAAATTTCCGTCATTAGGGGTGTAAATTTAGTCTCGTTTTCCGAGACCAAAACACCGAGACCGAGACCGAGACCGAGAGCTCAAAAAACCCGAGAAATTTCTCGACTCGAGAGTCGAGACCGAGAGTCTCGAACATCACTAATTTATAATAAATAATTTTTATTTTTTAAAATACTATTTAGTAAAATATACAAAAATATCCGATCATTTTAGTAATTTCGAATATTTAATAAAAATGATAATATTAACAAAATCTAATATTATCTTATTTGTTTGTTGTGTTTTTGCCGAGCAAAACTTGGAAGATATATACAAGAATGATCAGCAAGTAAATAATAAGCAGTACGTTTGATATTACATATTAATTTCTATAGTGTAGCTCTGCTTTATCAAGACTGTTTGCGATTATTTGTCTAAGCTTTAGATAAAAGCTAATTCCGACTTTTATGATCATACACAATTTTTGGAGTTTCCTTAGATAAGTTAGTAGGTTTGAACTATAATGTCGAGCTTTTGCATCACTTGAACCCCCAAACTCTCTATAATATCCAAATTTGCTTTTCTAAGTAAGGCATATTAATTGGAATTTTTAAAAAACTAAAACTAGAAGCGTGAAATGGAACTTGGAGAACCAAGATTTTTTTTTATCAAATATCGAATTTCCCAAGGTGCATAATTTCAGTCAGATTTAGTAAACAGCGAGATTTCTGTTTTATGAAATTCTTTGGAAATCCAAACGAAAATCGAAGAGAAATTTTCAGGCATCACTTAAAACCCTAAACCTCTATAATATCCAAACTTGCCCTCTATCCTAAACTAACTCGAACTAATAATAATTAAATTAAGCGTGTTTTTGACTGACATGGTCAATACACATTTCCAACTTCCATATTTAAATACTGATCAGTGCATGTTGCGCCCAGGACAGCAAGAACACGGCTCTTATGGTTTAATCTTCGAAAGACCAAACTTTTATCTTTGTGATGAGTAAATAAAAATATAAATATTTCTTCTAATAATTTATTTAGATTATTAATTTGCTACCCAAGCCAACTGGTAGGTAATAATAAACGAAATGGGATTATTACAACAGTTCCATATCGCCTTCGTGAAGGAAGGAAGGTAAATGAATTAGTTTACTTAAAATATTAAGAATGCTTTCATGATTCATAGAGTAAGGGGTTATGCTTTTAGTATGAATTTCTTAGTCTTGTGTAATAAAGTCTTTATTCTGTTATTCCTCAAACACAGCAGTCAAGGACATGACAAAAATGAATAATTTTATGTAAATGTTCAAAATTTTGGGCACAGATAAGAAATTATAGCATCAATGTTTTGTTTGTTTGTGTTTGTTTATCTTTCGGGATTTAGGCTCCTTGTTTTCGGTTACTACCGGTTTTCGACCCTTAATTCTCAGTTTAATCGTATTCCAAATAATTCAAAATTTAAAAGAACAATATTACCATACAATGTGAACAAAGACGTAAAGAATTTTGTTTTGAAGAAAAAAACAGACATTTCTGTAAGTTGGGACAGCCTGGCTCGTCTATTTGGCACGGAATTATGATCAAAACTGAAGACATTAATCGAAACCCAAATAATTCCCCTGTTTTTGTAACAACAATAACTTTGTCTATTACAAAACAAAAGTAATTGGATTTTTTGAAAATAGTCGAATACTAGAACATTAAATAAATATTTTAGATATGAAATAAACGAGACTTTAAAATTCTATATAATATTTGGTCGTATGGAAGATTTATTCACACGTGTTATTTTGGAGAATAACACTCATAAATGTTTGTAATCGGATTGTAATTTAAAATTAAAAATTAATATTAAATTTAGCAAAAGAAATGCTTCTTGGCAACGATAATAATCTTCTCAAGGAATACATCTCCAAAGTTGATAAGGGTGCATATCTTCACAAATATGCTGGCCTTTGGGCTCTTGGACTGGATTTGTTACCAACATCGGCAGAACAAAATTTACATTTATTTGTTTATAGAGGATGTGCTTGTTCTATTGATGTCTGGGTAAATTGTTGATTAGGATTATCTAAAGATAGAGCTGACACTTACTAACAATTTGTTTGATACGGCTCGTAAAAGAAAAAATATTGGACAATTACAATTTATGATAGGGATCCTGCAGTCCGATTCCCGAAAATTAGAGTGGGAATCCCGATTTCCGAAATGGGAATTCATTTTTTATGCTGGTATTTAAGCTCCATGTTTTCGGTTACTACCGGTTTTCGACCTTTAGTTCTTAGTTTAATCGTATTCCAAATAATTTGAAATGGAAAAGAATATCACCATCAATGTGAATAAAGACGGAAAGAATAAAATTGATTTATAATATATTTAAAACTGATTTATATAATATATTTAGTTCAAACCCCCAACAATACCAGAATCATTAAAGCCAAAAACTAAACCAGGGTTGCAGATTTACAAAGATTGTTCAGCAAAATATTCTAATAATACAAGTTACGAATTGGGAAATCTAAAGGATGGAGAAAAAATATTTAAGTTTTCAATATGGGCAAGTAAAAATGGAAGTCATGGCTCAATTGCATTTTTTAATTCTACAGATATTTTTCTAAAAATAAATTTTAATGGCAGCGAAATATTTCTTTATTCTTTTATGGTAAGCTTTGTTTTTCCATTAGATCGCAAATATTATATAATAGTATTAAATGTATTTTTCCATTCAGCGAAATATTCAGGTATAATATAGACGAATTGATGAATTGTCTGTATTTTGGGCACCAAGAATGTGCCGAGAATTTCGGTTCAGATTTTGGCTCGGGTTTTCAAAATTTTCTTAATCGGTTTTCGGGGTATTTGGATCGATTTATAATAATATCAGAGGTTTGGACATTAAATTTGGTATTGATACGTCCGGCGTTTGCCTAAGTAGACAAGCTAAAAACAAACACAGTAAATACAATCTCACAGTAAATACAATAGAGGATGAAGGTTGTAGAATGAAGAGAATCAACTATTGAGTAACTTTTTTACTAAATCACTTAAGGGATTTCGTCCATATACAAAGGATATCAAGTAAAAGAAATTCGAGATTTCCAAATCCAATTAAACTTCCAAATCACTAGATCTCTCAGATATCCTTTCAAATTTCCTATCTCTCCAAATTCACCTTCTATCCCTCCAAGTCCACCGAATCACTCTCGAACAGGGTGGCCTTTTTACCCTATTTATAGAGGATTTTTCCTATTTTTGATCTTTTCGCCCTTTTTCCCTATTTTGTACATTTGCCATATTTTGCCCTATTTTTATCAATTTTTAAAATTTCAAGATGACGACAGTCATCTTGACGTGGTCGACGACAGAGGTCGTGGTCGGCGACAGTCACTTTACGTGGTCGTGGTCTACGACAGTCATCTTGACGTGGTCGTGGTCGTCGACCGTGGTCGTAGTCGTCGACCGTGGTCGTGGTCAGACCTGGGCGAAACTCCAAAATTTTTTCGGACGAAACGAAACGAAACAAAAAATTTTAAAAATCGTTTCGTTAACAAAACGAAACGAAACAGTGAAAATTTAACGAAACGAAACGAAACAAAACGAAACATTTTAATATCGAAAAAATCTCTCTGCGCCGCAGGCGAAAATTTTTTGAATATTGAAGGCTAATAAGCCAGATTTCTTCCTTTTTCAGATAAGGTAAAAAGGGCAAATGCCTCCCAAATGAGCCTGGTACAAACTGAAACAGGGTGGTATGTACACTTGCCTCGATATCTCTTCCCACAAAATCCCTCGATATTACTATTAATCCCCCAATTTCTCCGATGGGTGCCGGAATTTTCGTCTCTGGAAATTTCGTCTCCAAGACTTTTCGGAACTTTCGTCTCCAACATTTTCGGAATATTCGTCTCCACAATTTTCGTCTCCGCTAGGAATTTTCGTCTCCAGAGAAAAATTTACCCGTTGACGGAACAGCCTCCCCCGCTGACGGAACAACATCCCCCGTTAACGGGGACTTTCCCTCACTGACGGAACAATTTCCCCGTCAACGGGGGATGTTACTTCCGTCAACGGGGAAGTTGTTCCGTCGACGGGGGATAGTCCCCGTCAACGGGGGAAGTTGTTCCGTCGACGGGGGATAGTCCCCGTCAACGGGGGATAGTCCCCGTCAACGGGGGAAGTTGTTCCGTCGACGGGGGATAGTCCCCGTCAACGGGGGAAGTTGTTCCGTCGACGGGGGATAGTCCCCGTCAACGGGGGATGTTGTTCCATCAACTGGCGAAGTTGTTCCGTCGACGAAGGATAGTGTTCAGCAGCGGGGGAAGTTGTTCCGTCAACGGGTAAATTTTCCTTTGGAGACGAAAATTCCTAGCGGAGACGAAAATTATGGAGACGAATATTCCGTTTATTTCCTTGGAGACGAATATTCCGCTGGAGACGAAAATTCCGAAAATGTTGGAGACGAAAGTTCCGAAAAGTCTTGGAGACGAAATTTCCAGAGACGAAAATTTCGTACACCTCTCCGATATCCCCATTAAGCATAAAAATAGGGATATCGGTGTATAAAACATAGTCGAGTATAGATAATATGAAGAATTTTTGAACAAAAACATATTGTTAATTGAAAAAATCAAAAATAATCTTGTAAATTATGCGCTGAAGACTCTTAAAATTCAGATTTCGGCGCCGCAGGCAAAAATTTTTTGAATTTCCATCACCAAAGTGGAGAATTTTTCAGTTTTTGAGTGATATTTTGGCTTAAAAAGTACCTAATGTTTCGTTAACGAAACACAGGTGTTTCGTTAACAAAACGAAACGAAACAAATTAAAAAGTGTTTCGTCACGAAACGAGACAAAACAGTAAAAAACATAACGAAACTAACGAAACAACGAAACGAAACGAAACGTTTCGCCCACGTCTGGTCGTGGTCAACGACGGTCATCTTGACGTGGTCGTGGTCGACGACCGAGGTCGTGGTCGGCGACAGTCATCTTGACGTGTCGTGGTCAACGACAGTCATCTTGACGTAGTCGTGGTCGACAAGAGTCATCTTGACGTGGTCGTGTTCGACGAGTCATCTTGACGTGGTCGTGGTCGTCGACCGTGGTCGTGGTCAACGACGGTCATCTTGACGTGGTCGTGGTCGACGACCGAGGTCGTGGTCAACGACGGTCATCTTGACGTGGTCGTAGTCGTCGACCGTGGTCGTGGTCAACGACGGTCATCTTGACGTGGTCGTGGTCGACGACCGAGGTCGTGGTCGGCGACAGTCATCTTGACGTGTCGTGGTCAACGACAGTCATCTTGACGTAGTCGTATTCGACAAGAGTCATCTTGACGTGGTCAACGGTCATCTTGACGTGGTCGACGACAGTCATCTTGACGTGGTCATCTTGACGTGGTCGTGTTCGACGACAGTCATCTTGACGTGGTTGTGGTCGACGACGGTCATCTTGACGTGGTCGTGTTCGACGACAGTCATCTTGACGTGGTTGTGGTCGACGACGGTCATCTTGACGTGTCGTGTTCGAGACAGTCATCTTGACGTGGTTGTGGTCGACGACGGTTATCTTGACGTGGTCGTGTTCGACGACAGTCATCTTGACGTGGTTGTGGTCGACGACGGTCATCTTGACGTGGTTGTGGTCGGCGACAGTCATCTGACGTGGTCTTGGTCTACGACAGTCATCTTGACGTGGTCGTGGTCCATTTTATTTGAACGATTCATTTTCAATGAATTTTGAATAATTTGGAGTTTAACTATTTAATAAAGCAATCGAGTTTTATAATTTTTCTGTCAACAAGACATCCTTCCAGTATTAATTTATTTCGTAAAACAACAAAGAATCGAATAATATATATGTATTATAAGTTTTATATAATCTGTCAATTATATTTTATGTAAGTACAATTATGAAATAATATAAAGGAAAGAGAAATACAACAACTCAACAAAACAATAATGAATGAATATTTATTAACATTTTTAGAACCATGGTTATTCTTCTGGATTCGTCGCCTCTAATTGACAAAAAGCCGCCATTGAAGTGACTATAGTAAGACCAAGAGTCAGAATGAACGAAGATGTCTTGCGATAAAAATTTCAAGATTCGAGACGACACTCGCAGTCCAGTCTAATCTTTTTTTGATTTACAATTTTTGAAATATATTTATTTAGATACAGCTTCATCTTGATCTGCTCAATTTAGTTAAAACTATTCGAAAACATGCGGAATAAAGATTTTTATTCAAAATGTTAATTATTTTTATATTTTAAAATAATTCCCTATTTTTTGCCCTACTTTTGACCGATTTCGCCCTATTTTTGAGTACCTGCGCCCTATTTTAGTGGTTTGGAAAAGGCCACCCTGCTCTCAAACTATCTTGATCCCTATTTCAATGAATAGGCGGGAATCTGAAAATAAGAGGTCAAGCACTTATAAAATTCAACTTTTGAGTTAGCTTATTTTCATTAGTGATGTATATATTCGAATTAAAATACATAAATAAATAAATTAATTAAATTAATCTTGCTTAACCTAAATTTAGTCTTTGAAATCCCCCCTTTTAGCGTGAAATAGTACCAAGGCCGGATAGAAAACAAATCTCTAACAATTTATTTACTTTTGGAGCACAAATAGAATTAACTATACGAATAAGCAATTATTTTGTTTGGATATTATTTGAAAGTAACGTTTTTGTAAAATTCATCAGACAATTATCGCCAAAAGATTGGTGGAACGGAAAATTTTTGAATGGATCTAAAATTGACATGTCAATTAGTGGTGATTTTGTTTTAGTTACCCCTATAGTTATTAAACTGATTAATGAACAAAACTCGGATGTAAGTTTTTAAAATTTTACTTCCTCTTCTGTCAATATTCTACTATAGACTAAATGGCTGTTGTTTAAAAGTATTAGGATTATGGTTTTTGACCCCTATAATTTTTGACCATTTTGAACCCTATATCTCAGTCTACAGGGATCTTACGGAAAAAAGAGTGGTACCATTCGAATTCAGCATCTTTTATTACCCTATATACTACATTTTAGCATTAATTTAGGGGGGGGGGGTGGTGGCAAAACAGAAAAGTAAGGATTAGCCGACTTTTGCGGCGCGTACACTTGCGGCTCAGACATTTGCGGTCCCGACACTTGCGGCTAAGAAATTTTCGGCGCAGACATTTGCGGCTATCAACTTGAGGCCCAGACACTTGCGGCCCAGACTATTGCGGTTTTGACATTTGAGGCTCCCCCCTATTGTGACACTTGCGGCCCGACATTTGCGGTTTTGACATTTGCGGCCCCGACATTTGCGGCCATGATTAAAAAATTAAGTAAATTAAAATAAAAAAAACCCTAATTTATCGTTCAATTAATATCGGTCAATAGATTTTGATCCCAATTCTCAAATTCATAATGAAAGATTTCTCTCAGATCCTTAACTCGTGTATTAATTACCCTGGGTAATTATTGTTTTATTATTATTGTTCATAATAGAGGTATGAAGGTCAGATGCACTTAATACAATTTGAGACGAAATTATTTTTTTGATAATGATAAATGCCATTATTAAAAGAAATCTAGGTATATTTGAGGAATTTTTAGGGAGATATAAGGTTGATATTAAAGGAAATATCACGGGACTTAGATGGATTAATCCGCGATATCTTCTCCAAATCCTTCTAGTATTCTCTTTATTTATTGATCCTTAAAATGCCCATTTTTAAAATTGTACTGATTTTTAATAGATATTTAAAAATTAGCATGGAAAAATAGGGGTAAAATTAAAAAATTACTTTAAAAAATTAATTAAAATTACTTTTTCATTAAAAAATTTACTTAATTTTTTAATCATGGCCGCAAATGTCGGGCCGCAAATGTCAAAACCGCAAATGCCGGGCCGCAAGTGTCACAATAGGGGGGAGCCTCAAATGTCAAAACCGCAATAGTCTGGGCCGCAAGTGTCTGGGCCTCAAGTTGATAGCCGCAAATGTCTGCGCCGAAAATTTCTTAGCCGCAAGTGTCGGGACCGCAAGTGTCAAAATAGGGGCGAGCCGCAAGTGTCCGGGCCGCAAATGTCTGAGCCGCAAGTGTACGCGCCGCAAAAGTCGCATCACCAAAAGTAAGCACGCCACACTACTGTTCAGCATCTCGAAAAAGAACCGACAGCACTTTTAATAGCACAAAAATGAAAATATAAAATGAGTGAAGCAGAAATATTTTAATTCCTATTTCATAAATCTTGTTTGAACTCATAAAATTTCATTGACAATTTTGCCCGGATTAATAAACTTTTATGGGACTCAAAAATTTCATTGGACTCATAAACCTTCATTGGACTCATATACTTTGAATGGCTAATAAACTTCTTCGGTTCGGTTCGGTTTGAAACCGACAACCCTACTCAGTACACTTATTTTTATCTCAACATTAATTCAATTACATTTAGTATTACAATGAAATGTTTAAAATGACTAAAATGCCATATTCACACAAGATAAGCGAGCCTATTAGCAAGGGAATATCTTATCATTTTTATTTAAAAATAAACAATAATGCAAGGAAATTTAGTATTAAATTATTTAATGGCATAGAAGAAAATCGTTACAGTAATTTTTAAAAAATATTTATTTGAAATTTAATATTATTTTAAGTTGGAACAGTTGTTTATAGTTTTGAGGTTTTCGATAATTTAACAAAAGTAGCAATTAAAACAGGAAATGTAAGTAAATACGTACTATTATGAAAATTTTATACTATATTTGAATAAGAGGACTTATCAAATATGATAAGTTCCCGAACCAAAACCCCTTAAGATTCTTTTAATAACGAGATTAAATAAATAAATTTAAGTGCGATAATTATTATAATCGATGTATTAAAGAGAAGGGATTTAATAATGAAGAATGTGCTAAATTTAGATGCAAAAAGTTTTCAAGAAGAATATTTAAAAGGGGAGAAGTATTCGAGCTTTTTTTACATGTTAGTGATGTAATAAACGAACGAATTATAAATAATCAACTATCAACTGTTCATACATCATTAATTGAAACATATATTAATAATGAACTTAAAGATGAATTTAAAATAGAAAATTATTTTCAAATCTGGACAATTAATAGAATTTTGGTTATTTTAAAGTTTTTAAAACCTGCCTTTTATGCGTTTCAAAGTTGGATTATTTAGAATTTATCTAGTGTAAAGCATATAGCTATTAATTTCCTAAGGCTGTGCAGTAGGCGGCGTCGTGTAATGGCTAACACATCAGTCCGGTCCACTGAAGATGCTGGTTCGCTCCCAGCCGCCGATTGACCTTTTGCACTAGCTAAAGGAGGGAAATAGCTATAGCCCAGTTGCTTTACTCTAGTTATATTAGATTAACTCTTAACTGTTCAAAATTCACTGATAAGCTAACACTACTTGTCTTAAGTCCTAAACTCGAAAATGTTAATTAATACAATTAGAATAATGATTAGAGTTCTTCCGAACCGATAAATACCTAATAATATGATCATAATAACAAATTTAATTTTGATTATGAACAAATTTTTCTCTTCTTTCACCTTTCTATTGGAAGGATTTAGACCTTCCGTTTATATCTCCGCTCTATGAAATGCGGAGGGGCTATCACTTTAATGAACATATTGTATTTTAGGTAGACGGTGATGTTCAGCTTTTGGATAAACATTATACCCGTGGTCATGATCAAAGTGTACCATATCGGCGTGACCGAAAAGCGATTGATGACTTGAAAATAAATGGAACAATCGTTTGTTTTGAGGCTCGGATACCGAGTGGTAAAGACATGAATTATAATCCCTCTTCTTTTTTTGTACAATTAGTTCATGATCCACAAATTGCTAATAATCTTGGTAATATTTTTGATTAATCTATTTTACATTCTTTTAAACAGGTGTTGGCCTTGTGATGCAACTAAAGTTAAACTTTGAGCCTGACATAAATATAGGGAAAAATAAGGGACATCTTTCTTTATGTCACACGCAAATAGAGATACGAAGCTATAGCCCTAAGAACGCTTTGATAAATGAAAAACACTACAAAAATCCAATTGGACCTGGCATGCCTATAGTTATGAGAATCATAGCTTCAGAGGGTCATTACAAAATCAACATTAACGATGGTGATAATCTCTTCTATTATCAAAATGCATATCCCCATTGGGCAATAAATCGTGTTGAGGTATACCTATTTTTTTATTAAAATAGAGTTTTTTATCTTGATTTTACTCAAACAATTTTTCTGGCCTCCCTTTTTTTGGTATTTTTGTAGCCCTACCTTATTACCTATTAAATGCCTATGACCTTATCCTGGGAGAAAATTTTATACAATTTAGTTTGAAACATTTATACTGATTCAAATGCCCTTTATTTCTTAATATGCGAATCTTCCAACATCGACATCTTAAGGGACCTATTAATTCATTTAATAATTTATTTTTCAGGTATCTGGCTATATTTATAACGTATTATTTAATGAAATGTCTGATAAATGTCAAAAGCTAACATCCAATATTACAGAAGCTAAATTAGATGCAAACACTAAGAGAATAGAAAAACAATTGAATAGTAGAAGCGAAGTCATTATTAGAGGAAAAACATCAGATATATTCAGAGAAAATATTACCATTAATTTTCTTCATGCGGCTATTAAATGGAATGAAACATGTCTGATTTTAAATAATTTAATCATTTTCTTTGTGCGATCTTTAATAAATATCACAACTATCATTAAAAATCACGCTATCATCCGAAATAATCCGTAAATTCGAAATTTTTAATTAGGATATCGAATAAAGGAATTTCTCATGGATCGGCAACCCATGTCGAATTGCTTAATGGGTTAATTACTTTATATTAGAATATTACCGAGTAATTGGGAAAAAGCCAAATTCGAGTATGAGTAAATTGAGTAATCGAGTAATTTTTATAAAACAGTATTTTAAAATAACTTTAAAAACAATTCATTACTTTTACTAAAAACTACTCATCATCAGTGCTGGGTGTTGAGCGTTTGTTGGCAGTGATGTAGGGGATCATCATCCAAATCCCAGTTATTTTTGTTAATCCGCCGATATCCCTCTTAACCCACCGAGTACTATTTTCGTGTACATTTTGTTGACTAGTTTACATAGGTGCCTCATGCAGTATTTATTAAAAATCCGGGCTATTAGTCTAAAGAATAAGACTAATCTACAAAATATTCATTTCTTATAAAAGTTCCCGTAAAATATCTCAAAATTTTATACATTTAATTTAGTAGGCAACACAGTTTTTCAAATGAACATTACAAGAGACTCTGTATGTGTAGACTCATATACGGTAGTTAAATTTAAAATTAATTTTAATTAGATAAATTTAAAAGAGCGGATTCTGGATTAAGTTAAAAAAGAAAGAAACTAATATATGTTCTGACCATCAAAGTTTAAAGGAAAATGAACGGATAAAATTATCTCTAACTTTTAAAAATTCTTCACTTTGGTACTTATTAGAAACAAAAGAAAATGTATTTGAAAATCATGTTGTCTTGGATATACCTATATCATTGTCACAATATATCCAAGTGAGATATAGTATTTTTATAAACTTACGAGATTAAAAATTCAAAAACTCATGGCAAAATTAGATCATGAAAATCAAGACTTATATTACTTAAACTAATGTCTTAAGTAGCAGAAACTCAGAAAAATTATATTTTTTGCTTATTGACAATGCAAATTCAATGGTACTAGGACAACCATAAGAGTTGTACATTATTAGAGTATGAGCAGAAAATTATAGTAATGTTAAGTTTGAGTTCGAGCCAAAATTAAGTGTAGGTAACAACAACTAATAGTTCCGAATATAAATTATATATATTTAGTACGTATTCTTTAAGGTTGATAACATGGATGAGGATGATGATGAATTAATATCAATAAAATATGATTAAAATAATTTTGAGTATTTAGTTTCAGTGCAAATTAAAAATTTTTCCAAACAAAATGATTATAAATCTCTTGTCAAACTAATGTTCAAAACAGTCATAATTTAATGGAAAATAAATTTTTTAATTAGAATTTCTTTTATTTTATTATTAACTTTTTAAATTTATTATAATTTTAATGTCGATAAATAAAAAAATATGTATGCCATTTAAATTCTTTTATCAATTGATCGTTCAGCATATTATTTTTTAAATTAGAAACCATCTAATTAAATGGCCCTCTGGAAGATAATTGAAAAATAGAATGGCCGGCAATTCTATTAGAGATAATACTGTATTTTCTGCGCCGCAGCAAATATTTAAGCATTTTGGAGTTCAAGGAGCAATATATCGCCCAGTGATGGGTCGGGTTACTAGAAACTCGACCCGAAACTCAAAACGGACACGAACGCCGACTTTTTCCATGGGTCTTTTCACCATAAATGAAACTTTTGACGGGGGTAAGACAAATGACGGAGCAAATTCAATAGAAATAATTTTAGTTAATCACAGGTTCAGAAGTCCAACCACTACTTTTGTGCAGGTTAAAATTCACAAAACTTTGAATTTTGTAAACTCATTTGAATAATTCCAAAAACTTTTAATATAGGCACATTTCTAATTTTATTTAATATTTTTCCCCAAAATTTAGTATTTGAACCCCAATCACGTGTTAAACGAATTTTAATTGAATGACCCCCTGGCTTATACTCTTGTGGTCCATTTTAGGTGAGACAATTGGATAGAGATAAACATGTAATAAAGCTATGTGTAGATAGGGATTATTACCAGCTTTTTAAGTTCAAAAAACTGATAATAGGCACCTAAATAGGTCCAAAAATCATTAAAACTAGTTCGCAAAAAATATGTAAATTAAAAAAACCCCCCATTGATTATTATACATATATTGATAACATTATATAGGTACATACATAATTACATTTTAGACATATGTGTATCTCTTGTTTTCTTATTAATCCCACTAATCTTCTTGAGTTTCGACTTTCTTTTCCTCTCCCTCTTCTTTATTCTTATCTTCGGCACTCGCCTGCTCTTCTTTAGTTTGGCTTTCAGTTGTTGGTGCAGTCGTCTTTGTAGTCGCCTCTATCTTCTCTGTTGCTTTATTATCGTCTTTAGAGCCTTCATCCTCTCCTTGATTATCTCCCTTGAGATCTTCCTTCTTTTCTTCTGATTCACCATATTCCTTCTTTTGATTTTCTTCTTTTGTATCTTCCTTCTTTTGATCTTCTCCTGTGACATTATCCTTGTTTTGAACTTCCCCCGTGACATCTTCCTTAGTCACAATACCTGCCTCAGCATCATTCTCCCCGTTGTCAAAGCTCTCCATAATGACGAAGAAGTAAGCAGCAATTCCAATCCCGATAACAATCAGAATAACAACGATAATCACAGCAAAAAACACTAATCCTGAAGAGCCTTTGGTAGTAGTAGCCATTGTTGTTGAAGCAGATGTTGTTGTAGTTCTCAAAGGAGGTGCAGATGTCAAAGGAGGTGCAGTTTTCGAAGTTTGAGCAATTTCTGATGTCTCCTCAGACAGTGAGGTTGTTCTGACATTATTGGCACTAGTATAAGTTGATGTTGTAGTTGTAATTTCTCTATCGATTGAACTCTTCCTTCCCTCTTGAGTTGGTTTCGGCGTTGAAGTGATAGAAGATGTTGGAGTAGTCAACAATCTGTAGTTATCTCTGGACTGAAATGAATATTTCATCAATTAAATATAAGATTACTACTTACAAATATGACCAGCATTTCATCGCATTTGGGCCCTTCTGGGTGTTCTTTTACCACAACATATTCCGGTTTTCCAGAAAGAGTATTTTCCAACAACACCCTCTTTCGCGATGCTTTTTGTGGAAGAAGATGAAAAACCAACAAACGATTCATTTTTGGCTCTGGACTCGTACCAACAATTTCCCATGTTGAGGGCGAGAGAATGTTTTGTTCGAGGTTATTGCTGCAGCTAGATGGTTGAGTATTGTATTTCTTTGAAAATTCATTGTGAGGAACATTTTTCAAATTCACTGTGATATATCGGAACTGTTTGATACGAAATTTAGGAACTGTTTGATTGATTATGACATCAAAGTACACATCTGTCTTATTCAAGTTCCATTCTTTACGAAGAAAGTAAATCAATTTCGTACCAACTAAAATAAATAAGTTAGGTATATTTAATACACGGATATTTACTTGGATTTGCATAAAGCCCAACATTTTCTTTCCCTTGATCTTCCTCATATGCCCATCTAACTTCTAGCCCTGTCTTTTTGACACATCCCTCATTACATCGGCATGGACCTTTAGCAAAGAGCGGGCCGTTGTGGAATTTCCTGACTTCCTCGTTTGTCAGACTGTAGGCAAACGGTAGTCTACAAATTAGTCGGATTAGTGTTCACACTTTACTTAAAATCTAAACTTACACGTTCGAATTGATGTCACCCTCTCTCATACAATCATCAAGCCCTCCTTGATTCTGCATACCAGTCCAGAAAACAATCTCATCCTTCTTATCGGTTAGAAGATCCACCGTACAACCTTTATCCTTTGTCGTCCCTCGATTTTTGTAGTGGATAACGCTGTGAAACAATTCGAAATATACTTGATAATTAGAAGTTTAAACTCACATATTCCCCTCATCATTAAAATCAACATCGCAGGTATCAGCAGAAATCGACATGTATCGCTCAACATCTTCTTTTTTGGCAACCATAGATCCTTTAGCAAGCACCACCTTTCCGTCTTTAAGAGTGTGATTCCTAAGACCAACATTTAATACTATAGAGGTGTTTCCAGCTGTTGGATCCTTTGGTGTCGAAGTGACTGGAGTTGCCAACAATCTGTAGTTACTCCCAGGCTAAAAACGATAATGTTAGAGAAACTGAATGAAAGGTCCTTACAAATATAATCACAATTTCATCGCATATGGACCCTTCTGGATGTTCTTTTACCACAGCATATTCCGGTAACTGAGTACGATTACTTTTTACTAACATCCTCTGTCGAGACGCTTTTTGTGGAAGAAGATGAAAAACCAACAGACGATTCATTTTTGGCTCAGGACTCGTACCAACAATTTCCCATGTTGAGGGCGAGAGAATGTCTTCTTTGGAGTTATTTAGGCAGATACTAGTATATGATTGAGCAAACGTGTCTTTCTCTCTTTTTGCAGATTTGATGTGAAATTTGGGATCCGTTTTGTTGATTGTTATGTCGGATAACCATTGCACATATTTGTTTCTCATGTCCCATTTTTTGCCAACATAATAAACCATTTTTGTGGCAACTAAAATAAACGAATTTGATACTTTAATTATGGACAGATATTTTACTTGGATTTACATTCATCACAGCATATTCAGCATACCCGCCTCTGTCTTGACCCTCATCCATTGCCCATCTAACTTCTAGACCAGTCTTTTTGACACAACCCTCCGCACAACTATAGCATGAACCGTTAGCAAAGAGCGGTCCGTTGTGGAATTTCTTGACTTCCTCATTTGTCAGACTGTAGGCAAAAGGCAATCTACAAATAATAGAATTAGCGTTCAAATTTCATTGCTTAAAATTTAAACTTACACATTCGAATTGACGCCTTCATCTTTCAAACAAGCACCAAGCCCTACACGATTAAACAAGCCAGATTGTAAAACAATCTCGTCCACCTTATCGGTCAGAAGATCCACCGTACAGCCTTTATCCTTTGTCGTCCCTTGATTCTCGTAGGGTAGATAACTGTAAAAACGACGGATATAATGAATTAGAAATTATAACTCACATATTCCCCAACTTATCAAAGCTAACATTGCAAGCATTAGCAGAAATCGTCATGTTCTCAATCTCTTTTGTATTGGTAACAACCCTCGAGCCAGCGGCAAGCTTCACCTTTCCTTCTTGCAGAATGTGATTTCCTAGGCCGACATTGTTTGCTACTGTGACGTTTAACTGCCCAAGTAATTGTAAAACAACAATGGAGAGAGCCGCAATGTTTTCGAACATTGTTTGCTTTTTGTCCGATTTGTCGTTGTTGAAGGTAGAAAACCACATTGTTGGTGGTCTTCCTTGCACAGATTTTGTTGTTAACGGCTTTTGATGGTTGGATTTTGTAATGAAGTTTTATGTAAATTATATCCCGGCTTTTATAGTATGTAGTATCTCTGGGTTCTAGTGTCATTCCCAGCGACAAGAGATGACAGGAATTGTTTCGACAATGGGGAAAGTTGTTCCAGTGACGGGAAGGATTGTCTCAATGATGAGGAAGTGTGTTGGGGGAATTTTATGGTGGCTGAATTTTATCAAAACCCTGGAACCTGGAAATCGGAAGAAAAAAACTTGGAAAATCGGAAGTCCGAACACAAAAGTTAAGGTTGATTCATCAACGGGGGAAGTTTCCAACAAAGAGGTAAATATTAATTCAAAAGGTTTAAAACAAAATCAAAAAAACTCAATAAAATTCCCTAAGAATTAAATGTTTTAAAATATCATATTCAAACGGATTAATCTCTAAATTATTCCCAAAATTAGCTTCCACAGAACAACACATCAGGTAACTTTACATTGAAATAAGCATTCTTTTATTCAAAATTTATCTTCAATTTCAAGAAGTTCTGGGACTTTAAGTTCAAGTCGTGTTGGAAATATTGGAGCTTCGTTCAACTGGTGATGGCCAATAAAAGGGTATACCCACTTAAAGGGTATTAGAAGTTAGATGGCTACTATAATTAAAAAATATATATGTATTAATGATGTAAGCCAATTATTCAAAATTTTTGTAAAATTTTTAATCAAGAAAATAAATAGACAAAATCACTAAATAATCTCAATAAAATGAGTATTAATCCATATATTCATATTTTTAATTCATTCAGTACAGCCATTCAATAGCTTTGCGCAAATAAACAAACGCCCCATTTGGGACTCCCTCAGCAGTTGCCAGCCATATTGGAGTGTCCGCTCCCTCATCAATAGTTAAATGGCCTTTGTGGCTAGTCATGTCTGTATCGACAAAACCTGGGCAACACTTTAAAAATTTGAAATGATTTAATAAAGGATTTAATTATGTTTACAGCGTTAACAGTAATTCCTTTAGATTTAAGTTCATGTGCTTGTAACAATGAAAGAGCTATTTCTGCTGCTTTACTCACTCCATAAGCTGTGTCTGAAAAGAAATATTTCCTTAATTCTGAAGAGAATTTTAAAGAAATATTTGACAAGATTGTAATTATAAGAGAAAGAAGATTAATAAGAGAGAGGAAGATAAGACAGATAAAAGAACCGGGGCAGTGCTTTCAAGCTGTCCTTGAAAATAATATATCATTCAAAAATATCACTCCAAAATTGAGCTTACTCCCCCTGTGGTTTTTCGATTTTCGGGGACCTATAGGTATCTCCAGAAAAAAGAGCAATATCCTCCGACCTAGCTCGTCAAGACGAATCGAATGGTATTACAGCCGAAAAATAAACTTTTTCTCCCCCATTCGAGGCGGAAAGGGAAAATTGGATGGCGACATTAATTTCAGATAGGGCCGAGGTTTTAGAGTCGGGTTAAAACAATTGGCAACATTTTTGTTTTCAAAAAGTTATAAAACGGTCATTTCAACTTATTAATCTTCTTTTAAAAATATTTTTACCTGGATAACCGCCCTCTTTACGCTTGTCTTCTTTTGCAAGCCTTAATTAATAAGCTTTTTAATTTAAATATTTTCAACAAACTTTTTATATTCCTCGACAAATTGGTCAATATCAGAAACTTTAAGGGCAGAAATATTTCTAAAGCGATCAACTAATTCTTTGCTGTATTTGGCATAGTTTCCGTTCATTACACCTCCTTGACTGCAAACATTAACGACTCTAAATATTTACATTAGAAAGGGTGAACTCCACGATAATGATAATAATCGTTATCTTAAAATGATTATTATTAGGCCCCCAACTCTCACCGAACATCCTTCACTACCATAATGCAAAGTTAATCTGCGGATATTAAATTCGGAGATTTTCCAGCCCAAACTCAAATTCATTCCAAATTGCCATAAAAAGACAATATTAAACTTTTATGTAAATTGCTATGTTAAGGAACAATAATATTAATTTTTTTAATTTAATTTATAGTACCATTATTATTTTGCGTTATATTATTCCGGGTTTTGCATACCAAGGTTGGCGGGTTTCGTGTATCAGTAACGAAAAGCTAAGATATCAGAACCTTCGATATAGATATCTCGAGATATCCGGAATTTCTTTGGGACGCAAACATGCTGTGCTCTATAATTTTTATTGCTTTGTAACATAGCGAATTTATTCCTATTATTCTTTCAAAAAATTTTTCCCTAAACCAAAATTTAAAATAATTTTTTATTACCTCCCCCCTTTTCGAATCAGAGGAATTAAAGCATTACAAATATTTTTAGTTCCATAATAATTAATTCCGATAGTTATATCTGCCTGAATACTCGGATGTTCTGTAGCATTTTGTTTAAAAGCAAAGCCAGCATTATTTATCAAAACATCTAAACCATCATGTTTTTCTTTCAAATGTTGAGCCAATTTTTGGCAACTATTCTCGTCTGTTATATCCAATTGATGGAAGATAACTTGACTTTTCTTTTTGTCACCCAATTCTTTTTCTAAATTTTGGAGTGCCGCAACTCCGAGTTGTGGATTTCTGGCTAAAAATAATTTTTTTTCGGAATAAAGTACTTATATAATAAGAACGGGAGCAGGTCAGTGTACCGCCAAGCTGTAACTTTGTCCAAAATTGTCGAATCCTTGGAGCCCTTGTATGGTTCATGCGCTGTATCGAACCATACCAGGGCGCCACGGATTCGTCAATTTTGGACAAAGTTACAGCTCGGCGGTACATTGGGTTCGCGGTACAACGGGGTGTACTCAATAAAAAGTTAGAGGATCACTACATGATACGTCACTCAAATTTTAAGAGAACATAGTCTGAAAATAGCATTCCAGAAAAATGTTTCCCTCTCAGAAAAGAGAGATATTGGTAATTAGATGTAATAAAAATATGCTTGAATACTTTCAATCAAAGGAATTAAAGCTCTAGGAAGGTCAAGAAAGCTTCAACCGAAAGAGACAAAATTTAAAATAAATCAACAAAGATACCAGTCAAATAAATTATAGCCCCATTTAATTGCTGAGCCAACCCACGAACAATTCCATAACCAATTCCTTTGTTAGCTCCAGTAACCTAACGGAAAAATTTTGATAAAAATAATCTCTGTGATATAATAATATAATTTGTAAATTATCAGGTATATTACAAGGAAACTTACGACAAAAATCTTCCCAGTCATTACAATAAGTAGACAATAATAAAGATATTTTTATAATACAATTTTGCTTAGAAATAATATAAAATTTTACAAATTAAAGATTATAAATGGAAGAAAACTTGATAATAAGGGTGGCCAAAAATTGGGATGAAAAAATGGGAAAATAACAAAAACCTAAAGGGAAAATTATGAAATTCCGTTAACTAAAACAAGAATAACTAACAATAAGACAGAAAAAAACTAGTGAGTAAGGGGGGGGGGGGGGGGGGAGGACAAATGCAGTCAAATCTCAACATTACTTTTCCCATCTCTCCTCTTAATACAACTTTAAATTCTGTGTCTAGTCTAAAGGGCCTCCTAAATAATTAATCACTTTTTTAAAAGGCAAGACGGGAAGAAAGAAAATAAATTTATCAGAAAAAAAGTAAATAAAAAATAAATTTATCGTGTAAAGTAAATAAATTATTTACATAGTTATTTTAAATAATCAAAAGGAATAAAAAAAACTGGTTTTAGGCGAAGGAAAATATTTTTGGTAGTTTATATTTTGTATTTTATATAGTCAAGTACAAAAATTGTATAAGTATTTTTGACGTTTTCTTGATAAAAACAAATTTTGAAAAGTTGATTAGTGAAAGATTTATGTCAATATACATAATGAAACCGCTTAAACAATTGGATTTTTCTTGGTGTTGCAAGTCAAAATGTTTTATTTTCTAAATTTAATATTCTGTTTTTTTATTTTCTAGCTCGAAGAATCGTGATAGCCATCTCCTTGGCCTCGAAGGGAAAAAAATCCGAACTACGCCTCGAAGAACCTGAAAACCCCGTTCACCGACCAGAAAAGGTTTCGAGGTTTTCGGGGAATACACCCCATAAATGCATTTTTTGAAGGAAGTTTAATATAAAATAGAGAAAATTTCCTCACAATTTTCTTTTTCTTTATTATTTTTTAATTTTATTTTTGTCGATCTAGGCCATACATATATTTATAGTGTTCCAATAGGATACACTATTTATCTGCTATTTTATTTTAGGCAGATAATTGTTAATTTTCTATGAGGTAGATTATCATTGGCTGAGTATAATTACCCTTGTGGATAATTAGATGACGGAATTAAATATAAAGATCGGAAAAAAATCCATTAGTTTCAATCAAAAATTTTGAACAAAAATTTTCTCGCTATAACAATGGCATCTCTGTTGTTATAGCAACTGAAATAAATAAATTTATATTTTTGTTTTTTTATAATTTTCTAAGTAAAAGTAAAATGAAATATTTTTTAATGTTATTTTTAATTATATTCCTACTAAACAAATTAAATAGTTTAATTGATATTAAATCTAATTATATTGATGTGAATGAAATAAAATTAGAAAAAAGACGTAAAAATTTGCTTTAATTTAAATTAACAATTATTTTAGCTCAAGAGTTAGTAGAAGAAATCATAAATAAATTCGATAAAATGGCTGAAACGAGTGTTGATTATTCCGAAAAATTTAAATTAATAAAGGATACAAGCACAGAATTCTTAAAATTGGCAATTCCTTTTGGGGAATTTTTAAACGCCTCATTAAATATTACAGGAAAGGTGAACATTTAGTTTAAATGTTATTAATTTTCTAAATTAATTTGGATAGAATTCCTTAGATTAAAGCTAAAGAAAAGTGATTTTAATGAGAATTATTTAATAGAAAACTAAGGTTACTGTTATATACCGACATTCGCCTCAAAAGAGTTTAACTTAAAAAATATTATAGACTTTTCATGATTAAATGTTTAGAGTCTTAAGGAGGGAAAAATGGAAGAATAACTCTACTATTGAAAAAATCCTCCAAACTAGAAAAATAAATAAGGAAGAAATTTAAATTAAATATTTAAATTATTTAGCCAGATTCTGTTGAATATAAGGCGCTCAAAAAAATGAATTTTTATTTCAATTATCAGTTAAATCGACTTAATGAAAGAATTTCTTATAGGTTCGAAGCTGAAGAAATGGATTTAGAATTTTGGAAGTTTGACAATGTAAGTTATTGAATTAAATTAATAAAAGTATAGAAAGGATTTTGATTATTAAAAATATTTTAAAATTTATTTTAAAAAAATTTAAACGGATTATTCATTTATTATACAATTTCTTTTTTACAATGTAGGATTTTGATCATTAGACAAGCAATTAAAAAAATATTTCATAAAACTTTTGGTACTTATAGAATATAACTTTTTTGAGCTTGATCTAATTTAAATAAATCCTATATTATTTCGAAAGCCCTCGATAAGCGTTATCATTTTCTAATTGGATAGATCAGGTCTGATCACTCATAAAAAGTTATTTCGAATAATATAAAATTCATTTGTATTGGATCAAGAGCATCAAAAAGTTATAGCCGATTAAATTCGGCTACGACTCATTTTGTGAGTGTATAACGGATAAGCACCCATTTATGATATTTTTAATAAATAATTATATGTATTTTTTAAGTTTATAACTCTTCAATTAAATGTACTTACCAGGAGAATCCCATACTTCACAGACCCTACAATTGTTAAGACTAATGAAGCAATAATAGATCTTTTAGCATATTGCCTTGGCACTAATGGGATCGAGGAAATGGCTGAGGTGAGGTTTATTAGAAGTACTTTTGGCAAAATTGGATTATTTGATCCTTAGAATTATTATTACGTATTTAAGCATCTCACTGAAGATTGATTTATTTATTACGAAATATCCAAGCTAGGATGATAATATGTTTGTGCCCGTTTCGCATTTCGAAGATTTTCGTCTTTTTTGGGTTTCGCCATTCGCGTTTAAAATTAACTTTCGCGTTTCGCTTTTAAAATCTGTTTCGGCAACCTCCTTTATATAATAAGGAAATTTTTTAATATATGTATATTAAAGAGGATATACCCATTTCAGTAAATAGCAGGAGATTGGATTGGACTTAATCCTTAAACAGGGTGGCCCTTTCCAAAACAGTAAAATAGGGCGCAGCCACTCAAAAATAGGGCAAAAATAGGGCATTATTTAAAAGCCTTACAAATAATTAAAATTTCAATTAAGACCCACGATGTTCTTTATATACCCCAGTATAAATCACATTATATCCGACTTAATCTTCTATTTACCTTAATCCTCCTATACATTATTAATCTCATTGATATTTCTCATTAATATCTCCCTTTATCAATCAAATCCCTCTTTATCTAGCCAAATCCCCCATAATCCTAGTAGATCTTCCGAAATCTATAAAAAAACCGCCTATATTCACTCAAGTCCTTCCACCCCTCAATCTACAGTCTTCACAGATTCTTCCTTTTTTTGCGCCGCAGGCGAAAATTTTGACAATTTTGTGGGCCATGAAGCCAAGATTTCCTAAATTTTGGAAGGTGTACGGTCAGATTTCTTCCATTTTTAGCCATTTCATTTACGAAATGCTAAAATTTTACAAAATGGTAAAAATAGGGCAAAAATGTGGCAAATGAAAAAATAGGGCGAAAAGGTCGAAAATAGGGCAAATGCCCTGTAAATAGGGCAAAAGGGCCACCCTGTCCTTAAAGAGACTCTGATGCTAGGCTAGGTGGAACCTCGCCCGACCATACTACCTAATTTAATAAATATTTTAGTATATGAGAAAGCGTATAACATTTGGATGCTCCTTCGACAACACTAAATTATACGAAAAAATAACGAAAATTTTTATAAATCTGGAGGGTCGTTTTAAAATTAAAGTATGCGATGGGCATGAAAAGAAGCTTAAAAAAAGTAAATTTAAATTTATTTTTTAAGTGTTTTTGGAATTAATTTTTAGTAAATTGTCTAATAATTTATTTTTGAATTTTGAAACTAAAATTTGTCTTGGAATTAAAGGAAATTTCTGTAAAATAATTTTTTAAATTTTTTATTAATTACAAATAAATTGATATTTTCTAAGGAATCCTTAATAATATTTACTCAATGCCCGCTTATAAAACTTCTCAAATATTTGAAGATATTGAACAAAGTATAAATGGCAAGTTTTACTATTATGATTTTTATTTAAATAATAAATAATCAAAAGAAAAAGGCCAGATTACGCATTCAATCAACCTTTACCCGCCTAATAAATAGATTATCAGTTTTTGGCATCCAATTGCATTTTTATGCGTCCTTTAACATTTTTTAAGGCACTTTAGTACCCCAAAATCTATGGGAAAGAGATCTAATTACTCAGTCATTCTATCATTCTACACACACACACACACGATACCGACCATGGGTTCTAACACAAAGAACCGAGTACTTATAAAATGTCATTGAATAATCTAGTAAATAATCTAGCTTGCGATAATCTAGTAAAAACTTAAAAATTTATCGTTTTTATCTAGATTTTGAAACTTTCGAATCAGCAATTGAACATATACATAAATTGACAAGACTTAAAAAATTACCAGATCCTACTAATAGGTAATTTTATTTTTATAATTAGTCGTCGAAAACTTTCCAGTTTAATTAAATTTTAGGATGGTTTCACAAAAGTAAAATCTCCTATACTTTACTGTCTTATTTTTGCATGGTAGCTTTTTGCCAGCCAAAAATTTTTCAAAATTTCCTCTTTTAACGGACAATTTACTTGACTAATATAGGCCAGTTGCGATGATATGAACAAATACATTATAAAAATAAATCTATGATAAAAAATTACCAAGTCCTGCTAGGGCTGTTTTGATTTAAGAGGGGTTTTCTTCGATTTTTGCTTTTCAAATTTCTGAGAAAGTTTGAAATTTTGTTTCGGCGCAGAAAAAGCAAGATTTTTGGCTTCTTACTTTCCAACGTTCTCAAAATTTTCAAAATAAATTTTTCCAATTAGTCCTCGACTATGAAATTTACTTTAAAAACAAATGTAATATTGTTTAGGTGTTTAACAGATGCTGTTATAAACGGAAACAAATATAATAGAATTAAAATTTCAATATTCGAAGCTCTAGTTCAAATCGAGATTTCAAGACTGGTAATAATAATTGAAATAATTTTATCTATTGTAAAGCATATAGCTATTTAATTCCTAAAGCCGTGCATTAGGCGGCGAGGTGTAATGGATAAACATATCAGTCCGGTCTAGTGAAGATGCTGGTCGCTCTTAGCCACCAGATAACCTTTTGCTCTAGCTGAAGTAGAGAAATAGCTATAGCCCACTGCTTTACTCTATTAAAAAATTTTATTTAATAGCTTATTGCAACCATTATTTGTGGGAAATTTATGTTTCCTTCTAATTTAACACAATATCATGAATTCTTAATTAATGTAGGCAATGATGTAGGCAGAACATCCCAGTTTATGGCCAACTACATCCCTACAAAATTGGTAATTTTAAACCTTAGAAAATAACAGTTAATATTATGGTTTTAGTTGAGATGTGATTTCACTTTTTCAACTCCCACATAAGTTTCAAAACGGAAAATTTACTATATCTTATATCATTATAATATACAAAAGAAATGAAGTTCTAGTATAGTTCCTTCCTTCATCGAGATTTGAAACTCAGAAAATTAACGTGAAACTAGAGTAAATGTCTTTAAAATATAGCTACTCTAGTATAATTTTCTTAAATTTAATTTCTTAATAAAAAATTTAGAACATGTCTGGACCGATTGAAAAGCTAATAATTTCCGATACGATAAATAAATTCAATGGAAGCGGAGATATTTCTCATCTTCAATATAATAATCTGCTTAATTTAATATACGAAAATTTAAAGCATATTGGGGATAAAAAGTTTATATATGTAAATTAACTGTCAAAATAATTTTTTAATTTAGAATTGAAAAGCAGCTTTTAGTTTACCCATCTGAAAAAGCAATAAAACAATATAATGGAATAAATATATGCCCTGAATATTGGTGTGATCTTGTATTAAATCAAAGTGGTGTCAATGTTGTTATAACAAGATTTAACAAAAATAATGCTTTTCTTGCTAAATCGCTTAAAATAAAAGTTGGAGAACTTAAACCTAAAATCCTGGATGTTTTAAAGTAGGTTTAATAAATTTTAAGTATTTATTAGATACATTAAATTAGTGCTAATATGTAGATATAAGAATTATTAAATGATTAAATTAGATTTCGATTCCGACATCCGTATCCCCTTAAAACTAGAGTAGGTCGAGGTCGAGGTTTTTTGAAAAAACCGAGACCGAGGATCACCGAGGCTGAAAAAGCCGAGATCGAGGTCGAGGGGCAAATTTTGTCCGAGGTGGAGGTTCGAGGATAACTGAGGTTTTTAAAAAATTTTATAACCCTTCAAAATTTGATCAAATTTACTAAATTTTATCAAAAATTCACTAAATAGTTATTAAATTCACCTTTCTTATCAGATGTAGCCCATCAGTTTAGATGGCTAATATTATTTCGGTGGATATGGGAAGACTAATGTTGATATAGAGTGATATTAGGGGATTAAGAAGGATATTAAGGAATTAAGCGGGATTTGTGGATTGGGGGTTATCGTGGATTTGGGAGGTTCAGAATGATGGTGTATTTCAAGATCGATCTCTTTTATCCATCTATTTTTGCGCCGCAGACGAAAATTTTTAAATTTAGTCGGCCCCTAAGCTAAAAATCTTCCTGTTTTTGCGCCAAATTTTTTCAATTTTGAAATGTCGAAAGTCTAGAATTCATATATTTAAAAATATTAATTACTTTTTTTGAATAAATAGTTTTTCCTGAGCCGGTATCCTTCACTGACCATACCAAGAACTTGTCGGTTTTGGAAGACCGGAGCCGAAAAAATTCAGTTTTTTGCGCCAATGTCTAAAGACCAACAAATCAGATTTCTTCCTTTTTAGTGGCCTGGTATATACTTAGAGCTGGAATGGAGCCGGCCGTATTTTTCTGGATTAATCCGGTCCGGAAATACCTTCTTAATTTCTCATTTCAGCGCCGCAGGGAAAATTTTTTGCTAATTTAGAAGGCCAATAAGTTTAAATTCGTCCTTTCTTAGCGCCGCAGGCAAAATTTTGAGAATTTTTTGAAGGAAAATAGCCCAAAATTCTTCTATTTCTGCTAAAAAATCCATCTTTAAGGGTGTATATTTAGCCTCGGTCCTCGCCGAGGTTTTTGGCGAGGACCGAGACCGAGGTTCCGAGGCCCGAGGTCAGTAAAATCGAGGTCGAGGTTTGAAAATGGCCGAGGACCTCGGCCTCGGCGAGGCCTCGACCTCGACCTACTCTACTTAAAACTAGGCGAGATCATACTTGGTAACTTTTCTATCAATGATCTTATCCAAATAATTCTTATATTAATCAAATGCTTTCGATAAACGCGATCTTTTTTCGACTTGAAGTATCAAGTCCGATTACCTAATAAAAAGATACAAGTCTTACGTTTGAAGACCCACGATTTCCTGAAGTTATCGACTTGTAACTAGAGTTGGGCGGGATCGGGATCCCGGTCGGGATCGGGCGGGATTATCCCGGTTTTTTTGAATCCCGATCCCGATTTTTCTGATCCCGAACCCGAAAGACAAATCCCGATCCCGGTTTTGGCCGATCCCGATCCCGAGCCGGGATCGGGACCGGGATCGGGATTAGCAATCGGATCCCGATGAAATCGGGATTTTATAAATTAATGAAAATATATATTAATGAGCTGAAAAGAAAGCAATTTGGCTTCTACGCCATCCAAAATTTTCAAAATTTTCGCCTGCGGCGCTAAAAATGAAGATTTTGGCTTGAGAATCTTCGAAATTTTTCAAAATTTTTGCCTCCGGCGGTGAATAAGAAACTCATTTATAAAACTATCGACGGATCCCGATCCCGATTTTTCAATCCCGATCCCGTGTCGGGATCGGGATCGGGATCATTATTTCGAATCCCGATCCCGATTTTGTCCAATCCCGATCCCGCAGTCGGGATCGGGACCGGGATCGGGATTATCATTCCAAAATCCCGATCCCGATTTTACGTCGGGATCCCGATCCCGCCCAACTCTACTTGTAACTCTTTAATAAGCAAGCAGACTTGATCCATCCAGTTGGAAAAAAGAGAACTTATCGAGGGCTTTTGAATGATAAGATTTATTCTGATTAGATTAATCATAAAAAAGTTATAGCCGACTAATCATAAAAAAGGATAAGAAAATGAAAATGCGTTGATATAATACAAGAATTATAAGTTTAGTTTATTTTAGAAAAAAATATTATCTTGGCTTAAAAGAATTACTCGAAGAATTTAAATCAAACAACATATCTTTAGTTGATCAATTTTCAATTAAAACAGTATCGATTATTCGTCATAAAACATTTTGCTCAGTTGCTTGTAAATCCTATTCCATAACAAAATCATATCAAGAAAAAACTGAACTCCCATTTATTGATGAAATTTCTTATCATAATTTACGCGAAAAAGGATGGTTCGACGACAACACATGCTATTCAATATACTTTTTCTCATAATTATTTAAAGGACGGATATTTATAAAGAAGTATTTGATATGTAAATAAAAATAATTAACTTTATATTTTTAATGTTTTTGTCAATAGATTGATAGGGAATTGATATCCAGATTTTATGCCCATATTTTTCGATTTTATATCCATATAATTGGCACCACTACTTATGAGTTGTGATACGTTTTTCAAAATTGGGTTATGGAACTGCCTAAGAGAACTGCCACTGGGTTATGGAACTGCCTAAGAGATACCCTCGATTAAAAATAAATGTCACAAGATATTTATATTTAAGCAATTTTCGCCTTTATTCATTTAAAAAGTAAAAAAATTAATTTTAAAAATGTTTAGCAAATTTTTAAGCTGTCAAGAGCAATCATATTATTTTCTATTTTTCCTTGATATTTTCCAAAAATTTGTTTTGGAACATCTTGGGGAAACCAACGAGCAGTCTTAGAATGTTGGCGCTGATAGAAAAACAATGAAGAATTGGCCGATTCAAAAATTTCTTTTTGGGAGTTGTTAAAGAAAAGTTCTTGAACTAGCGTATCATTAAATAAACGCCAATGCCCATCAACAAAATTACGAGTAGCTGCTGTGTAATGACCTTTAAATTGTTTATATATTTAGATTCTGAAAATCGACTCCTTACTTCAATTTTATTCCAAATCTTCTAGGAACAAAGGGATCGAAAAAGAAAAATAGGTGCCGGTATTTTCTGGTATTGTACGGTATGGCACAAAATTCTGACCTTAACTAGTAATTTCCCGGTGAATCTTGATCCGTCAATTTTTCAGTACTTTATGGATATATCACCCCCCCTCACCCTCCAATTACGACAGCCCATTTCTGGTCCAAATGTATTAAATGTAATAAAACTGACCAAAAATGTAATAAAACTGACTTCGCTTTTTATTTTTTCATTACGCCCAGCCCTGTTGTCTACCCCGAACCTGGCATTTCCTAGCCCCGAAAGTCTTTTTTAAATTAATTTCACACACTAAATAAAATATTTAGTACCTTTTCAAAACGATTTATATAAAAGACAAGAATATCAGGTAACTGATCAAATTCAATTTGAATTGATCCAGAAGGTTTCTTACATTTTGGACAGTTCCAAAGTTTCATTGGTTCTATTAATAGATTTATAATTTTTTAAATAAAATTATACCAGATTTAACAAAATTATCAATCAATGTAATTAAAGGAACAGGTTTTGAAACATAATTAAAATTATTAATAAAAGAATAATTTTCAATAATTTGTTCTTTCACAAGTTTAGATTTAAATTCTTCTTTTAAGGACAAATCCCATTCCACAATTATTTGAATTACTTTTTTATTATTTTCTTTTTCGTTTAAAATACTGGAAATTACATAATTAAATTGTGTACTTATCCGTTGTACATCCACAAACTAAGTGCCAGTTGACTGATAGGCTATAAAGTTTTGATGCTTGATTTGTTACAAATGAATTTTATATAATTCGAAAGCCCTTGATAAGCGATATCTTCTCGCTAATTCGATCGTTTAGAGTTAGCAAGAAAATAACAGGTTATAACCCGATAAATGTAAAAACATCAAATAAGTGGACTTAACATGGACTTAACATAACATTTTAACGAGTTATCAGACTTGATCTATCCTATTAGAAAAATGATACAGCTTATCGAGGGCTTTTGAATGTTATAATTAATTTGTATTGGAAAAGTTCGGCTGGCATTCAGTTTGTGGGTGTATAACGGATACTTTTAGTTCCTTTTATTATTTAAATCTTTAAAAATAGTTTACTTGTTGACATATTCATTAAAAAGAGGTTTTTCGATTATAGGGTCAATTCTAGAAAAAGATCCATCAGAATTTTGTAAATAAAGTGTAAAACCAGCATTCATTTTGTAGAAAAGTTTTGGAAGAAGAAAAGCTCCTTCCTTCATTATTTCAAAACTTAAATGACCTGAACCTAAATCTCTATTCAAAATTGTAATGTAAGGCTCGCCAAAACTTTAAAAATTTTCAAAATTATTCAAAAAATCTTTTTTAATTTACATTTCTCTATTTTGAACACTTCCAAACACAAAATAAACAACCGCAATAATTAAATTATTTTCTAAAAGTTCTTCATTAATTTCACCAGGTATTTGAAGAATTATAAGATTATTTAAATTATTTTTATCTTCAAGGACTGAATTAGTTTCTGAAACTAAATATAATTGTCCATTTGGTTCAATTTTACATGCAACCATCTAAAAAATAAATTTTATCCAATTGAAAATTTAATTGCCCCTTTAAAATTAAAAAATATCATACATATTTTCTCTAAATTAGCCTCATCCTAAAATAGGCACCTTCACCTATAAATTGACCCTCTAACAGAATATTTGTTTCTGGCGTTTTTAAAAGCCTCAGTTGAATCGCCTTGGATAGATATAAGGGGATTAGAAGTGATTGAGAAGGTATCAGCAAGGAATTCATGCGATTTTTGCGATTAAAAGAGATTAGATCCATAATTTCTCAGTGACTTGGAGTAGCCGAAATAAACGGATTAGTGGGATTAAGGGTTTTAATGGATTAGGGATAGCAGTCCCATGATATCGTTCCTTCCCCAATCACTATATCCCTCTGAATTGGAGGAAAGATAATAGGGAATCATTTTAGACTTTTTAAAATTATTAGCTTTTTAAAATAATTTGTATAAAATATCAACATTTTCTGTCGAGATGTTCACAGTTTTGTCTATTTGCTCCATTATATCTGTTATTTTTACATTAGGTTCAGAAATGTCAAAATGAAAACGAGTGATTTTGCGTGATGGATTCATACTGATAAATTTTACTGTAGCTCTATGTGGCCTGAATTTTATGATAAATTTAGGTATATAAATTTACAGAGGAAGTTTGAGCGGAACAGAAAGAAAAGTTTCATTTGAAATATCAACAAAACCACAATTAGGAGCAGTACATTTTATTTTCTTTTGAAATTGGCCTCTGAAAATAAAATTTAAATTCAGTAAATTATAAACTCTTTAGTATATTTTAATTAATTTTATAAATAATTAAAAAGCAGAATCAAAGAACTACAACTGAGGGTAGGTCCCAGAAATCGGGATAGGTCCCAGAAACAATTATCTTGCCTCATTTTAAAATAATTTAAATTAAATCCAATTAAATCCAATTAAAATCCCACAAATAATCCTTTATTATTTAGCTTTAAAATATGCAAGTACAATTAATTTTTGTTTAATTAGAAAAATTTAAAAAGATACATATGGGATAATAAATAAAACTAGGTAGTTGGGTTTCAGGGTGGAAACTTTTCCAACAGTTTGGGGCAATACTTTTGACCATGAGTTATGTGGTAAACGAAAATAAATAATATTTTTAACAAAACTTACTGAAATAATTTTAAAATATTAGATTTTTTATCTTTTTTGTTGCTCTCATACATTGAATATAAATACTTATTCCTAATGCTTAAGTAATTATTCTCCAACATACAAAATCTCTCCAAAGAATTCAAAAACTCTCGATTAAGTTTGTTTAATAACCAAATCATACATTCATGAGGATCCTTTTTAAAAAATTAAAATAATTGTTACTTTATCAATGGATTAACCCAGAATATCGAGACTCACAAAATATCGCTGACCCTAAATATCGAAAATTGAACTGAAAATATTCAATGAGCCATCCCTGATTCGAATTGAGTTCTCCGATTCGAACAACATTAAGCCGCTATTACTTCAATACAAACACCAAAGGCAGTTGTAAATTCACAATTAGATGGACTCAGTGATCTAGCTAAATTAGCTAACTAGTTATATGTATGGTTTCGAAATTCTGGGTGCATTTTGGGGCTCTATATTTTGAGGTAAATTCCTTATCATTATGCCTCTAAAGTCTAAAAAATTTATCTGAAAGTAATCCCTTTTTTAATTATAATACCAGTGACTTTTGAGATCATAAAGTAAAAAAATTAAAAAAATTAATTCATTTACTTTTTGCGAGCCGAGACAAAATGGTGAATTTTCATTTGCTAGAGCACTAATAGTTTTGTGGAAATAAATGTCAACAGAAGGGTCATTAAACCACATACACCGAATTGTATTAACAAATGAGTTGAAAATAATATTCTTAAAATTAAAGAAACTTAAACGTTATTTTTGTGCCAGTGGGCAAGTCTCGGACATAACAAATTCCAGCCTAGGAGCCCAGCTAAGTTAATTTTGCATGAAAATATATGTTTAATATAATAAATTGCTAAAATTCGAAAAATTGGATCACAAATCTAATTTTTTAGTAAAGGAGTTAAATCTAGAGATCGGAAAAAAATATCTTTAATATCAGTCCAAAGATTTTAATTATCGAAAATAGGTATTTTTTGAGATCTCGATTCTGTCCAAACTCCCCGTTCGATCTAATGTAAAAATGTTATTTCTCTTAATTGTCATTTTTCTTAATAGCTTTTGTTCCTAATTTTAGAAATAAAGCTTTTGTCCCCAAAAATTTACTTCACCTCTTCATATTCCACAAAATCATAACAAAGAAGAAATTCAGCAAAGCGGTCACAGCCAGCAAGGCACTGCATTAAAGCATTAAAATAATCAGTATTTCCATAAGTTTTGAGTCCTAATTAATCAAAATTAGATAAATAATTAATTTTAAAGACCTTTTATGCAGGGAAATACTTTACATCTTTCATCATCGATACATTGTTTCCAGGAAAATTTTGAGTTTTTACTGGACATTTGATTAATAAAAATAATAAAACTTAAATGTGTATATGAATTAAATTTAAGGTAAATTTGAATAAAAAACAAGGTAAATTTGAATAAAAACACCCCCATATGTAGGGGGTGTCGGCTCCAGGAAAATCTTCGGACACGTGGATCCGAACCAAAACTAAACGAAAAAACTTCGGTTGTTTGGTTCCGAACAGACAATCTCCACTCGAAATAATAAAAAATATTTTGTTTTCCTATGTAGTTCGATGTACAAAATTTCGAAAATGAAAAAACAGGAATTGCGGAGGCATCATTTAAAAAAACAAAAATTAAAGTTAAAAAATCAATCAGCTCGCTAAGATTCGCCGAATGATCTAGCCATTATTTCTAGATCTTGATCGATAGATAGTACGGGGGTTTAGCATTAAGAAAAAATTTATTTGAAAAATTTTGAGAATAGACATATGTAACATTAATTAAAAAATTTTTACTTAACCATTATAATCAAATTGCCCCTCAAAATAACACAGCATAAGGATGGCATTAATAAGGGAACATTGTGAGGGGCAAAAATTATTTTAAACATAATTTGAATTTAGCATTTTTTGGGAGTTATTCAATCAAAAATTATTTTAACTTTATTTTAATATCACTATTTTAAATTTACCATTGTAATTATGTAAATATGATAATAGAGGTTGGAATAATAAAAGTTTAAAAAACAAGGCCGATGCCTTAACTTTTATTTTGTATTTTAGAATTTTTGATAATACTTTGGTTTTTTCTTTATGAGCTTTTACAAAAATTCGTACTCGTACTTTGGCACGAATTACGAGTACGAGGCAAAATCTAACTCGGGTTCTCGTACAAACTTTGTATTAATAGAAAATTGGAAGAAGTACACTTATTTTTTCATTATCTCTTATATGTAGCAGCGGATGGTCAAGTGTAGAGATGCCTCAAAAATTATTTTTCCAAAATTTCGCAAATCGGAAGGAAAAAAACGTCGGAACTCGGAATTCCGATCCACCTCTGGTAGTAACAGACAATTAAATGGTGAAATATTGCAAGGATAGATAATTAAACTGACAAAAATTTATTCATAAAAAATTATTCATAAACAAAATTTAAGTGAAATTCCTTAAGAATTGTGTTTTGAAATATCATATTTAAATGGTTTTGACGTCAAATTGTTTCCAAAGTTTGCTTCAACAGAACAACAGCTCAAAGCAACATATGGTTTATACAATTCAAAATTATCTTTTAATAATACACCTTTTCCTTAAAAAAATTTTTTAATTAAAAAATTTCAAAAAATTTTCTTAAATTAAATTATTAACCAATTTGTTTTCCATTTTGTGTAAAGAAAATATAAGGAAATTCTTCATTTAATTTATCATTTGGAGGATAAACTAATCCACAACCATAAATATCTTTATTTTTGAAGTAAAGTTTTGAAAGTTTAAATCCTTCAAATTTCTCGTTATATATTGTAGAATTGTTTGCAAAATATATAATTACTTTATTTGTACTTAAAGTCTTAAGACCTATAACCATATATTTTCCATAATTATTTAACTCTCCTTCAAATTTACATTTAATTTCAAAATAATATAAAGAATAATTTAAACAATTTTGTGGTTTTTTGAATGAATTTTCTGTGTAGACAACAACCCTTTTATCACAACCTAAAAATATTTTTAAAAATTATAATTAAAAAAAATAGGCACTTATAAATTATTTAATACCAGTTTTTGCGGACATGTTTATGCGATCTCATTCATTTATGAATGCTGAATGTATTTACAAGACTTAATCATTTTCACTCCGGTCTCGTTGAATAATACCACAGGAAAATTACATAAGAAAAATGATGAACCAAACCTGACCATTCAGAATGTCCGCAAGAACTTGTATGAGATAACGGATATAGTGTAGTGTACCGGTGGTAAAAGTTCGGGACGTGACATATGTCATTCGATTCGTCTCGACGAGCTGAGTCGAACGGTACCACTCCCTACTTTAGGAAATAATTCTGGACCGAGTTATAGGTCCCGAAAAATCGAAAAACCAAAGGGGGGACCAAGCACATTTTTGGGGTGAAAAATTCGAAAATACAAATTATACCTCATTCGAAAGAGCTCGTCGAGCTGAGTCGAATGACACCAAAATCAGCTTGATTGAACAAGTTTGAGTCGAGATATAAGGCTCGAAATGGTCAAAACCCATATGGGGATTTTATGGTCAAAAATGCAATATCACAAATGTTAGCTCATTCGAAAGAGCTCGACAAGCTGAGTCGAATGACATCAAAATCACCGTGATTGAACAAGATTAGACAAAGTTATGATACAAAAAACAAAAAACCTAAACCTATGGAGCGTCGGCGAGGCGCTTGTGCAAAACCCCGCGCTTCGCGCGGGGTTTTGCGGCACGCGCCTCGCGGGGAGTCTACGGGCGATGGGTCTGGGCTCGTAACATAAACCTATTCCTATCTCCCTTACTCTGGATGTATTTGGGGCCTCCGTAGCAGCAAAAATCTCCATAGATGCCAAGGTAAGGAGCTAAAATAAAAGATCATAACTTTGTCCAATCAAGTCGGATTTTGGTGATTTTGGTGTCATTCGACTCAGCTCGACGAGCTCTTTCGAATGAGGTATAATTTGCATTTTCGAATTTTTCACCCCAAAAAAGTGCTTGGTCCCCCCTTTGGTTTTTCGATTTTTCGGGACCTATAACTCGGTCCAGAATTATTTCCTAAAGTAGGGAGTGGTACCGTTCGACTCAGCTCGTCGAGACGAATCGAATGACATATGTCACGTCCCGAACTTTTACCACCGGTACACTACACTACAGCCGAGATAACTCACAAGTACCAAAATTTATAACATATACCACTTTTCCCCACTAAATATTTAATATTTTCATCATTAATTAAATTTACACATCCATTTCCTTTAATACAATTACCAACAGGGTTGTTGGTATTTATACAATTATTTTCACAACATTTCCATCTACAACTAAATTCCCTCCATTTATTTTTAATATGAATAAAACTCTAAAAAATATTCAATGTCTTTAATTAAATTATAAACTACGGTTATAATCACCGAGATACAGACCCCTGAGAATTGAGAAACCATAGGGGCGAAAAACCATAAGGAAAAATTTATACGAATCGAATACTGTGTATTAAATTTTCGTAGCTCATTCGAGAGAGCTCGTCGAGGTGTTTGAGTCGAAGTTCACAAAAATCAACGTGATTAGACTAACCATTTGACAAAGTAATGACATAAGTCGCCGACTCCGATAGGTCTACCTAACGTCATAACTTTGACAAACCAAGTCTAATTACGTTGATTTTGGTGTCACTCAAACTGCTCGACGAGTTTTATAACCTACATATGACAGACTGACCATTATTTACATATTTACCGAAAAAATTGACTGGGGGAAGGGGGAGTAAATAAGTACATAAACTACTAACCACATATTTACAACACATATTGTTCAAAGTAATTAATTGCGTAATATTTTCTTCAATTAATTTTTGAAATTTTTGCTTTATTTCCTCAATTTTATTTTCATTGTGGGAAGTTATCTTCAGAATTGATGTACAAAATTATGTATATAATTATTTTAGAAATAAATATTTAATTTAAAAATGATCTAAATATTCTATTCCTTTCACTTTATTTTTACCCACAAAGATTTGGGATAAAAATGAAATCTATTTTTGTTATTTTCTTCATTTAATCCTCACTAAACTCTGTCCCAAGATTATGAGTTCAGCCCTAAATTCCATCATAATATAATTTGCAGATTACTA